CGATGGGTTTTCGCTGTTGCCAACCCCCGAGATGCGCATTTCTGTTTTTCTTTTTGTTTTTTTTTTGCGTACAGGAAAGCGTGAAATTCACCCAAATCCGTTCACGGGCTTAATTTTCAGGCCCGATGATTTTGCGCTGCCGCCGATTTCCCGAAAGGAAAATCCGAACACAGAGGAATGCAAGAAGAACCCAAAGATCCTTCGGGCTTGATTTCCAGGCCCGATATGGGTTTTCGCTGCTGCCGGACCCTCCCGAGAAGCGAATTCTGAGTTTACAGGAACGCAGTGAAATTCCCCCAAATCCGTCAGGTTTCAATTTCAGCCCCGATGGATTATTGCTGCCGCCGATTTCCCGAAAGTGAAATCCGAGCACAGGAATGCACGAGAACCCAAAGATCCTTCGGGCTTGATTTCCAGGCCCGATGGGTTTTCGCTGCTGCCGACCCTCCGAGAGCGAATTCTGAGTACAGGAAAGCATGGGATTCCCCCAAATCCGTCGGGCTTAATTTTCAGGCCCGATGGATTTTCGCTGCCGCCGATTCCCCGAGCACAGGAATGCATGAGAACCCAAAGATCCTTCGGGCTTGATTTCCAGGCCCGATGGGTTTTCGCTGCTGCCGACCCTCCGAGAGCGAATTCTGAGTACAGGAAAGCATGAGATTCCCCCAAATCCGTCGGGCTTAATTTTCAGGCCCGATGGATTTTCGCTGCCGCCGATTCCCCGAAAGTGTAATCCGAGCACAGGAACGCATGAGGACCCAAAGATCCTTCGGGCTTGATTTCCAGACCCGATGGGTTTTCGCTGCTTCCCAACCCTCCGAGAGCGAATTCTGAGTACAGGAAAGCGTGAAATTCCCCCAAATCCGTCGGGCTTAATTTTCAGGCCCGATGGATTTTCGCTGCCGCCGATTCCCCGAAAGTGAAATCCGAGCACAGGAATGCATGAGAACCCAAAGATCCTTCGGGCTTGATTTCCAGGCCCGATGGGTTTTCGCTGCTGCCGACCCTCCGAGAGCGAATTCTGAGTACAGGAAAGCGTGATTTCACCCAAATCCGTCGGGCTTAATTTTCAGGCCCGATGGATTTTCGCTGCCGCCGATTCCCCGAAAGTAAAATCCGAGCACAGGAATGCACGAGAACCCAAAGATCCTTCGGGCTTGATTTCCAGGCCCGATGGGTTTTTGTTGCTGCCAACCCTCCGAGAGCGAATTCTGAGTACAGGAAAGCATGAGACTCCCCCAAATCCTTCGTCGTCCCACGCAGCCACCGTCGCTTCACCGTCGTCTCACCCCCAGCCAAGGTCGTCACCCCCCCCCAGCCACCGTCGTGTCACCGTCGTCTCACCCCGCCACTGTGACGCCACGAAGCGTGTTACCCACCAAAAGACCCGGCCAAAAAAGCTCGCAGGCAGAAAAAGCACAACCCCCCAGAGACATCCGACCCTGTGGCCTATGGTCAAGGCCTAAGGTCAGTCCTCGCGGGGCGCGCAGGGAAACGGGGGGTCTGGGGTCTCTCTGTCTCTCTCTCTCTCTTGTTCTTCTCTTGAAGCAAGCCGCAAAAAGTGTGCGTCATCCCGGCCTTGTAAGACCGCGCCCGCCAAAACATTACGCGACAACATTACGCGGAAAGCTAACTCCACGTGGCGCAAGGCATTCCGTGAAAAACACTACGCAAATTTCCCCCGCGCAAGCATTGCACGTCAAACGGCGACGCTAATACCATGCACGAAAACACTACGCAAATACACCACGCAACACGCACCACCAACACAACATTCTGGCCCAACACGCTACGCGAAAGCACTACGCAAACGCACTACGTAAACTACGAGATGTGAATTCACTACGCAAAGACACTACGTAAATACATTACGTAAGCACACTACGTAAAGTCACTACGCAAGTTCACTTCGCAAATACATTGTGCAAATGCACCAGGCAAATACACTACGTAAGTGCACTACGTAAGTACACTACGTGGATACACTACGCAGAATATATGTCATAAGTACACTAGTAAATACACGGCGCAAATGCACAACGTGAATACATTGCGTAAATACGTTACGTAAATACACCACGCAAATACACGACGCAAATGCACTACGAAAAACACTACGTAACGACACTATGTGACTACACTACGCAAATACATTACCTGGCGCGTTCCCTGTCACGTCCCAGTGCGGCGCGGCACAGCGCATGGGAGCACGACGCAGCCCCCGGCACAGCAGCGTCACCGCGGACATCTCCAGCATTGCCATTGCCCATCGCCCGATTGAGGTGCTTGGCAGCGTCCCGAGGCCTCGCAGTTCTGGATCCCTTCCCGAGTCTGCGGGTCGACCAAACACTGCGCGACGACATTACGCGGAAAGCTTACCCCACGCGGGGAAATGCATTCCGCGAAGTACACTACGCTTATGTCGGGCCTGTCCCCCTACAGTGGGATTTTCGACTAAAAATAAATTATCCCAGTGCGACCCTACCTAGGAGTTGGAGCCCCTAGGAAAGCAACATTAGTAAGAGCGGTAAACGCCGTCCTCCTCCTTTTCCTCATCGTCGTAGTTGTAGCAGTAGCGGTAGTAGTAGTAGTAGTAGTAGTAGTAGTAGTAGTAGTTGTGTTGTAGTTGTAGTTGTAGTTGTAGTAGTAGTTGTAGTGTAGTTGTTAGTTGTAGTTGTAGTAATGTAGTTGTTAGTTGTAGTTGTAGTGTAGTTTGTAGTTGTAGTTGTAGTAGTAGTTAGTAGTAGTAGTAGTAGTAGTAGTAGTAGTAGTAGTAGTAGTAGTAGTAGTAGTAGTAGTAGTAAGTAAGTAGTAGTAGTAGTAGTAGTAGTAGTAGCAGCGCCAGAACCGCCCATTAGGACATGCGATAATACGTCGGGTTTCATGTCTCCCGGCCAGTGCTATGTGCGAAACCTTCGTGAATCCTAAGGGCTCAAGCTGCCCCACTAAGGGCTCAAGATGGCCCACAGACGGACAACATGCATGGAACATACGTGCGCGCACACACACATACATATATATATATATATACACACATACACATACATATATATATATATATATATATACACACACATAAGTACATCTATATAGCAGCAGCAATAGTGGATGCTGTGCTGCGCTATGCTATGCTATGCTATGCTATGATATGATATGATATGATATGATATGCTATGCTGCGCAATGCTACGCTGGGCTAGGCTAGGCTAGGCTATGATATGCTATGTTATGCTATGCTGCGCTATGCTATGCTGCGCTATGCTATGCTCTGCTCTGCTCTGCTATGCTATGCTTTTGCTTTGCCTTCGCTTTTGCCTTCACTTTTGCCTTTGCTTTTGCATTTGCTGAGCACCCAGGGAGCGCAACCGGGGGAACCGCCCGGGGCGCTTAGCACTGCCCGGCCCTTTAAGCAAACCGAGTAAGAACCCTTCTAGGCAGAGCCTAGGTAGGGAAACATTCCCCAAACATGCACCAAAAAGGTCGAAAAGTATTAAAAAAATAGTCCCCTGACTATTTTTGGATTATTTTGGGGGTATCTTTTATTTTTCGTCGAAAATCCCCCTGTAGGGGGACAGGCCCGACTTAACTCTCCGCAGAGTTCCCCGCGCAAGCACTGCACGTCAAACGGCGACGCTAATACGATGCACGAAAACACTACGCAAATACACCATGCAGGAACTCTACGATAACACACTACACCAACACAACACACTGGCCCAACACACTACGCGAAAACACTACGCAAACGCACTACGTAAACTACGATACGCGAATACACTACGCAAGTCCTCTACGCAAGTCCACTACGTAAATACACTACGTAAATTCACTACGTAGATGCACTACGTAAAAACACTACGTAAGTACACTGCGCAAATAAACTACGCTAATGCACTACGCAAATACACTACGTAAACACACTACGTCTATTATTTCACTGTCAGGCGCAACTCTCGAAACGCCGTCATTGACGGCAGGTCTGTGCGGCGTGGCACGCATTTGCTGCACGTGTCCGTGGCTGCTTCTGCACAGGCCTCTATCCTGAATGCCTACGTTTGCGGAGACGATGCGACAGGTATCTCTGGCGACCCCGGCTTCTGCCGTAGCCGGTGCCAGTCAGTGTTGAAGCCCCACAGCGGTGGAGCGCGGCGTCGGAAATGCTTCAGAGCGCGACGTTGTCACACATACGAGTCGACGTATTTGTTCAGAGCCTTGCCACGAACGGGGAAAAAGGATGATGATGAGAACGAAGACAGGAAAGAGGAAAATCAGGAGGAGGAGGAGGAGGCAAAGGAGTTGGTGGAGGAGGAGGATGAGGACGAGGAGGAGTAGGAGGAGGGGGAGGAGGAGGAGGAGGAGGAGGAGGAGGAGGAGGAGGAGGAGGATGGGGAGTAGAAAAGGAGAAGGGAGAAGGACGGGAGGAGGAGCCGTCTTGGGAGGATCAGGAAAGGAGGGAGGAGGAGGAGGAGGAGACGAGATGAGAGGGGAGGAGGGAGAGGAGAGAGGAGGAGGAGGAGAGAGAAGGACGAGGACAGAGGAGGAGGAGGATGAGGAGGACGAGGAAGGAGACGAGAGGAGGACGAGAGGAGGACGAGGAGGAGGAGATGAGGAAAGGTTGGTGGTGGTGGTTGGGTGGTGGTGTGTTGTGGTGGTGGTGATGAGGAGGAGGAGGACGAGGAAGAATAGAGGGGGGGATGAGAGGAAAGTAGGAGGCGGAGGCGGAGGAGGCGAGAGGAAGAGCAAGAGAAGGGGAAGAGGGAGACAAGGAGAGGAGGGGAGGAGGGGGAGGAGAGAGAGGGAGGTAGGAGGACGGAGGAGGAGGAGAGGAGGAGGAGGAGCAAGGACCAGATCGGAGGAGGAAGGAGGGAGGATGAGGGAAAAAGGAGGGGAGCGAGGAACGAGGAGAGGAGGGGAGAGAGAGAGAGAGAGAGAGAGAGCGAGGAGAGAGGAGCGAGGACAAGAGAGGAGCGCAGAACGGGCACCACAACTACACCGCACAGGTGGGGCGTCATCACGGTGAGGCACGGCGGCGTCACCTGCGAGTGCTCCGTGTTGCGGGCGGCGGTGGGCGGATGCCTCGACGGCAGGCGGAGCAGCGAGCTGGTTCCGGCCAGCTCCCTGAGAGAGGAACGCGTCCCCCCTTGGCGAGGAGGAGGAGGAGGAGGAGGAGGAGAAGGAGGCGGAGGAGGCCGAATGCTAAAGACTGAAGCGGTCCAAGACTGCTGCGCAGTAGTAGGAGAAGGAGGAGGAGGGACGGTGAAGAGGAGAAGGAGGAGGAGGAGGAGGAGGAGGAGAAGGAGGAGGAGGAGGAGGAGGAGAGGGAGGAGGAGGAGGACGGAGGGAGGAGGAGTAGAGGAGGAGGAAGAGGAAAGAGCGGAGAATGGGAAGGAGGAAGAAAGGAGAGGAGGAGGAGAGGATAGGGGAGAGGAGGAGGAGGAGGAGGAGGAGGAGGAGGAGGACGGGGAAGGGGAAGGGGAAGGGGAGGAGGGGGGGGAGAATGGAGGAGAACAGGGGTCGTAATCATATGTTTACGTGCGTATCCAAATTTTCCATCAAGTGATGAGGACGCCCCCCCAGACGGGCGTCACCCAAGCCGCACCCTGCGATGCGTTCCTGACGACCTTGGGACAGCTCCGAGACTACCCGAAAATACAGCCAGGACTGGTCACGACCAGCCCCAGAAGGCCTCCGAGATGGCTCCAAGAGAGCGCCAAGAGAGCCCAGGACTGCTCAATAGCGTGCCAATGCGATTTATGATGGCGCCGAAGCGGTCCAAGAGGTCCCCAAGACAGCCCTAGAGGCCCTCTTCCGTAGCCATTTTGGCTCAAGCCATTTTGGCTCAAGGCTCAAACCTGTCCCCTGGGGTTTGAACCTTGGTCGCTGCCGACGGGAAGGCTCAAGAAGTCTCCAGGAGCTGCGACACTCTCGATCTCTTTCCCTTCACTTATCTAGTCCACACTGCTGCCGCGATGCCAGGGCGTGGGGAGCGCCGTGTCACCAGCAGGCCGCGCAGGTCGCCGTCGTCTTCGAGGCGGGGTTCGTCTTTCTGCTCGTCTCGTTCGAAGAGCCGTTCTGATCGGGAGTGTGGTCGTCGTCAGCCACCAGCTTCCCGCTCTAAGGACGATAAGTTCGACCTGATCATGTCTTCGCTGCAAGGATTGTCAGTCCAGGTTTCCTCCTCGGCCAGCGACCTTTCCAATATTAAGTCCCAGATGGAGCTCACCCAGATGCGTTGTGACCAGCTTACCACTCAGATGACCACGATGGGCAATGACATTCATTCGCGATTCTGCCAGCTTGAGGGGGAGCACAGTGCGGCCTACACATCGCTGCAGGAACGCATGACGGCTGTCGAGAGATTGGTCTCCGAGATGGACAGTGCCCCGACCCCGCACTCCTCCGCGGACTCGCTGATGGACGCCTCGGTCCAGGACAAGATCCAGGCCTTCGAGGCCAGGATCGAGCAGCTCTCGACGCCGCCGTCTGACGCTCGCTCGTCTGCCAGTGATCCATCTTTGGCAACGGAGCGGAGCCAGGAGAACACCACTAAGTTGCTCATCCTTGGATTCCCTCGGAGGATGCTCGCGACCACGTTACGCAGTGTTGGGGAGGCCGCCCGTCAGCTGTTCGCCCCGACGCACATCCACCAGAAGATCACGATCAAGGCCTTCGACCTCACGCGCAAGGTGGCTCTCCACTTCGAGACGGCCTCTGCTGCGAGTGACTTCTTGGCCCAGTTTGATACTGCGGGAGTTCTCACTCACCCCGACCCTCTTTCGTCCACGCCACTGTCGCTCCGCATCCGCCGCGACATCGACACTAAGCATCGGCAGCTCTTCCTGTCCATGGGCAAAGTTAGGGCGGCCATGTCGGACCTCCTCGAGTCTCGCGGCTACGAGGTCAACAGCAACGGCCTTGGCGGATGCATCTACACGCTGAAGCAGGCTAACGACCCCGTCATTCTGGCGCAGCTGCGCACGTCCGAGGATGGGGCTAAGGTTGAGATGGAGCTCGAGCTGGACGCCCTCCGCGAGTTCGGCATCACCCAGCACGCTGACGCCTTCCGTGATGCGGCCTCTGTCCAGTTTCGGTCGCCTTTTCGGCGCTGAGGATTGCTGTCCGTTGCCTCAGAATCAGAATCCTTCTGCGCACGACATTGGTGATGTTAGTCCTCCTCCTCATCCCCTCAATTATCTGCCCTTCTCCCCATCAAGTGCCTCTGTCTTTGTGCAGCTGGAACACTCGCGGACTTTCTAGTAGTGTTCGTAACGCGTCCTGGCGCTCTGGAGCCAGGTATCAGTCCTTCCTCTCTCTCGCCCGTCGGTTCCAGATTGTCTGCGGTCAGGGAACTCACGGTCAGATTGGTGATATTGGAGAGCTCCTCAGGGAGCTGGATGGGCCCCAACCTGGGCGCAACATCGGTTTTTCTATGTTTGAGGGTTCTCAAGGAGAAGGTCAAGGTGGGGTGGTGACTGTCCTGGGCCCTCAGGTTACCAAGTTGCTCACCACGATTCGCCATCATGGGTTAGTTACTGGTCGGGTTATTCAAACCACTTGTTCGGGTCCTTCAGGTAACCTCACGATTTTCAATATGCACCTCCCCAACACGAGTGACACGCTTGCGGTTTACTCGGCTGTGTTGAGGGCGGTCCGCTCGGCGTACGACGCTGCGCATGAGTCTCATAGGATCTTGATTGGGGGCTTCAACTTTGCGTTGGAGTAGGAGGGGAGGCTGAGAGGTGATGGAAGTGGATGGTCTCAGGGCGATCGTCCTCATTCGCGCCTCTTTCACCGACTGTTTCCGACGATTACGGAAATCCACCAAGAGTGTGATACATGGAGGGAGCTTCGTGATGGGGTTATCGCTCGCACTTCGAGGTTGGATAGAATGTACACGTCGTTGCCGCAGGCGATCTTGAGAGATTACGACATCCGTAGTGGAGTGGTGGGCAAACTCTTGCCCAAGTCTCCGAGCGACCACATCCCCGTCTTTGCTGTTATATCCCCATTCTCTCCGTCCTCAGAGTTCCCCACGATGCCCGAGCACATCTGCAAGCACGAAGAGTTTGCTGCCCACTTAGAGAAGTTGATTGCCGAACTTGATCATGATTGTCCGCATCTCACGGCTTGGGAGCGTCTTAGTATGATTAAACCTCTCATGTTTATTACTTCGAAGCACGTACGCGAGTGTATAAAGACGATCCCTGCCACCACGCTTGAGTCGAAGCACCGCTGGGCCATGCACGCCTTGAGGGGGTGGAGGTTCGGGGGGAATGGGTTGATTGTTGACGCGCTCAAGGCTTGCCCGACCTTAGGCATGCACTTTGACATGCCGACGTTTAGGTGCACGAACGTAGCTGGGCTCTGTTCTCTTATTCGGTCTATCCAGATGCAGTTGCTTGATCAGGATAATTTGGAAATAGAGCAGTCTGACCACTCCCCTGAGACCAAGCAGAACAAGAAAGCCAGGGTCCAGAGGTTTCAAGCTCTTTGGAGGTGATTCAGAAGTCGTACTTATGTCACCTGTGTTTATGCTCCCGACGGGTCTCCCTGCGACTCCCTGGAAGGCTCTGCTCAGGTCCTGCATGAGTATTGGGCTCAGGTTTTCTCCCCGAAGGCGCTCGACAGGATCCTCTGGCCTGAGGTTTCGGAGCACATCCAGAATATTCCAGAGCGACCCCCTACTGATTGGCAGCTCACTTACGCTCAGTTTTTCGAGTATCTTAGGAAGCGATGCCACAGCATGCCAGGGCCGGACGACATCCCGCATGGAGCTTGGGCGGCACCGGTTGCCGCGCGCGCTTTACGACATCTACCTCTGCTTCTTTAATGAGAATATTGCGTCGCTGCCGCCTGATATGTGCCACAGCCTCATGGTCTTTCTCCCCAAGGGCTCTGATTCTCGGGATAACGGCCCTGGCGTTTCTCGTGGTCCAAAAGAAACCCGCCCCCTGGGCATGTCCAACACGGACGTCAAAATCCATGCTGGTGCTATGTCCATTCCCCTCTCGGAAAATACTGCCAGGCTTGTTTCCACGGACCAGAAGTGTTCGAACATTTGAGATATGGTCACTAACATTGTTGATGCGGAGGCCTGGTGTCTAGAACAACACGTTCTTGCGAACGAGCAGGCTTGCCTCTTGCTCACGGACTTTTTCGCCTCATTTCCGTCGCTGGCTATCCCGTGGCTGCTGCATGTATTGAGGGAGATGGGGACCTGCCCCGCTGTCGTCGCCTTTTTTGCATTGCTGTGCCAGGAGCAGTCTGCCACTGTCGTGTTGGGAGGGAAGAGGTTTGGGAAGATCGAGATGGGCACGGGGGTCAAACAGGGATGTCCATCTAGCATGCTGCTCTTTGCATTGGCGGTGGATCCGCTTCTTAGATGGGTGAAGGCTAAACGAAGTTCTCATATAGATCGTACGTTTGCTTATGCGGATGATTTTTGCTTTGGGTTGTTGAACGTTTTCGACTCCCTGGGTCCTGTTCTTCGGTCCCTTCAACTTCTGGAGCCTATCGCGGGATTGGTGCTGAACTTCAAAAAGTGTCAGATTTTGATTACGGGTAACTTGGACTTACCACTGATGCGAGGTTGGATTGCCGCGCTGAAGGGTGGTTTAAAGTTGATGCAGGTAGCGAAGTGCGCGAAGTATCTGGGGACCTTCATTGGCCCGCTCGCTCATCTGTACGCATGGTCGGAGGCTCTTCCGAAGTTCAGGCTTAGAGTTGGAATCTCTCGGCAACTTGGTCTAGGGCTTACTCGGGCCGCCGTCGTCTTTCGCGTGATGTGCGTTTCCGTCCTCTCTTTCATCCTTCAGCTTCACCCTATCTCTCGTGAACTTCTTAAGTGCTATCGTGAATCGGTCATGTTCCTCACGGCTGCCCCCAGGAACTCTTTCTCATATTCCTTTTGTACACAGCTTCGGAAGATGCACCTGCCCATCGAGTTTGTGGACCTGGCTTGTCTGGCTAAAACGACACGCATTCGGTATATGGTTAGAAATGATGGGATCGGGGCTGTTTTTGGACACCTTCGGTCTCTAGAGGATCATCCCGAGCATGTTTTTTGTTCGTATGAGGGCAGGGTATTGGAAGACAAGTTTTCTGTATTACATGTATGAGCTGCATTCTTGGTACTATAGTATCCCATCACAGCTACGCACTGATCTTCCTCGCCTGCAGGCTCGTCTGTCTGAGATGATGCTGGATAGGTCGCCTGCGAAGGAGGATCCTCGCCGTACGCTTGTCCGTCGAGTTGAAGCATGGTTTCCAGATATATCTCAAAAGCAGTTGGATCGTTTCTATATCAACTCTTACTTTGTCTTGAAGAAAACTCAGCCGTACATGTTAGTGGCAACCATGCGTATCCTCTGTCGTGGCCTCTGCACATCAAAGAGTTGTAAGTCTCGTCCCGCAGGTTGTGCTCTGGGATGCCCAGCTCTTGGGGAGGACGATCTTGATTCTGTTGAGCATTATGTCTGTTGTCCTCGGCTTGCTTCCATTTTCAGATATTGGCTTGGTCCGCTGTTTATTTCGTCTTCGTGGTTTCCTGAGGGCTCGCCCTGGCTCCTCCCCTTCCTCCTGCTTTCACCATCACCAATGCCGTCTAATGTTTTCTTCGCTGCTTGTGTTGACGCTTTTGTTGCTCTTCACAATTGTCGAAGGCTGGGCATCCCTGGCACGGCTGAACAACATTTTGAGGCTCGCCCCCGTGTCACTTCGAGGCGGCACCGTGCGCTCGCTCGGGCCTGGCAGACACAAGCTGCAGTGTGGTTTTCCTCCTCCTCTCCCCTCTCCTCGAGAGTGTTCGTGGCTCCTGGAGGGACGCCAGCCTCCCCTAGCGGGGACCGCCAGGACCGCTCGCGAGGCCGCTGGACTAGTGGCCTGTCCTTTTTGGGTGCTGCCTCAGAGCGAGGCCGCGAAAGGACGGGTGCGAGCACACCCGAACAAGAACTAACTTCAGGGGGCGGTCAAACTGGCTGACGGGGGAGGAGGAAAAAAAATACAAAAAAAACCTAGAGGCCCTCTAGATGACTGCCGAGAGACTCCCATGAGTGCCTACGGTGGCCCCGAGACGGGCCCAAGGAGGCGTCAGCACAGCCAAAGCCGCCCAAGACGAGGACAAAAGGGCCCCAGAACAGCACAAGAGGGCCCCCAAGCAGCCCAAAAAGGCCCCAAGGGGACCCTCAAGAAGGCCTAGAGAGGCCACGCTCGTCCATTTCGCACGGAGCTTGCACGATGTTTCTCGTACGGCGTGACAAGTTGTTACCACAGAGCACCTCAGCATGGACGGTTTTGTGATCCCTCGAGCCCCGCGACGAGGAGCTCTGCGGCTCCGAGCCTGCGTTGATGTTCCGCAGGCATGGGACAGCGGGCTTATCTTGCTTTGCGCCCCTGGACACACGCCCCTTTGCGCCCCTGGACACGCCCCTGGCCCCTGGTACGAGAGCCCACACCCACGACGGCGCCGCGGCGCCGGCACCCCAGAGGGTACCAGACGTCCCCCATCCTGGGCCCCGGAGCAGATAAAACAGCCGTTGACGCGGCCAACAAGAGGAGGAGGAGGAGGAGGAGGAGGTATGGGATGAGGAGATAGGGAGGAAGGAGGAAGTCAGGAGGAGGAGGAGGAGGAGAGGAGGAGAGGGAGGAGGAGAGGAAAGAGGAGGAGGATGGAGGAGGAGGAGGAGAGGAGGAGGAGGAGAAGGAGGAGGAAGGAGGAGGAGGAGGAGGAGTATAGGAGGAGGAGGAGAGGAGGAGGAGGGAGGAGGTAGGAGGGAGGAGGCGGAGGAGGAGGAGGGGAGGAGGAGGGAGGAGGAGGGGGGTGGTGGGGTGGCGGGGAGGGTGGGGGGGGCGGGGACGTGGGGGGGGGGGGGTTGGGGGGGGGGGGTGGGTGGGGGGGGAGGGGTGAGGTAGGAGGAGGATTAGGGGGAGAGGAGGAGGGAGGAGGGAGGAGTGAGGAGGAGGAGGATGAGGCGTGCGTATTCTGTTCGAGCCTGGTGAGGTATGCAGTAGTTGGGAGTTGTTTTGAATGGAGGAGGATGAGGGGGTATTTAGTAGAGGAGGAGGTAGTCTGATTGGCGATCGGTAGGCTTGCGGAGGCGTGAGTATCTGGATTTATTAGTTCTGATGCATAATGCTACGGAGGTGGCTCTCCGCTTCCGGACATGTTTGCATACTCCTCACGAAAACCCACGCCGATTAAGGTCCCGCGGCGCAAGCCGCCCGAAGCGCCCACCGTCCCCGATCCCGGCCCCCGGATCAAAGAAACAGCCGTCGACGTGAACCAAAAATTGGTGCGGCCCTTTGATGGCCCCTCGCTCCCAGCATGACCATTAGCACGACCACTAGCACGACCGCCAGCACGACCGCCAGCACGACACCAGCATGACCCCAGCACGACCACGAGCACACCACCAGCACGACCACTAGCACGACCACCCAGCGGCACCATCTTCAGCACGACCACAAGCATGACCAGCAACACGATCACCAGCACAACCACCGACACGACTTACAGCACGCACACCACCACGACCACCAGCACGACCACCAACGCAACTACAAACCGTGACACGTGATATGTGCTAAGCGCAAGCCAATTGTAGTAGACCCCCCTGAAACCACAACATACCCACCCATCCAAAACCGTCAACTTCACGACACACATGAACACATACTCCACCCTAAAACCATCAAGTTCGCGAGCACACCACGTTCTGTCGTTCATTTACCTTGGTGGGATGCTATATCCGCGCTCCTTCGCAAAAGGTGAGGATGAGGGACTAGATGTTGTGGCGAAGTGAGGCGAGCCAACAATATCTGGTGTGTATATATATATATATATATATGTAAGTTGTATGTGTGCATATATGTATGATGTTCTTCTTCGGGCAGCCTGGGTTGCCCTCGTCTCCACAGCAGGGTTCGCCTCGGCATCTTGGTGGCGTGTGAGGAGGAGGAAGAGGAGGAGGAGGAGGAGGAGGAGGAGGAGAAGGAGGAGGAGGAGGAGGAGGGGAGGAAGATGAGCGAGGAGCGAGGAGTGAGGAGCGATGAGGAGAGTGAGGATGACGAGGAACGAGGAGGAGCGAGGAGGAGATAGGACGAGCCAGGAGGAGGAAGAGGACTCCAGCCTGGTATGAGCTCCAGGATGGTATGAGCTTAGGTGACGCATGTGCACAGCGCCATCTCAGAGGATCAAAAATCTTCAAAAAGGAGGGCCGGCCTCCTCGAGGTTTTTGTAAACCAGAGGTTCGACATCCGAAATGGGGCTGTCAATCCTGTAGGGCAGTGATGATAGCACGATGTTTTAACGTAGCTGCCATCCGTCCGCGTCGCTGCTAAGATTGCCAGGCTTTGGGGCCACAGCATGTAGGGAGCACAAGGCGAGGGCCAGACTGCCGAGACTTGCTGGCTTCCACTTGTGCAGCTGTCATGATGTTCAAGTTTTCCTCTTTCTCTCTCTCTCTCTGCTTTCCCCTCTTCTTCTCAGTCCTCATTCCTTCCTTCTCCTCCTCCTCCTCCCATTCCTCCTCCTCCTCCCCCTTCTCTTCTCCGCCTCTCCGCGCCCTTCCTCTCCGCGCTCTCTCTCTCTCTCTCTTTCTCTTCTCCTTGTGCTCCGCCTCCCCGCCTCATCTCCCTCTACATCCCACTCCCCATGGAGAGCTACACTCTGCACCCTCTACGCCCTACACCCCCTACGCCCTACACCCTCTCCCTTCCCCCGCACCCTCCCTTCCTCACGGAGACTGCCTCGCGCCACTAGACGTGTTGACAGGGCGGTCCCGGCGTCTCGCCTGCGATTTCCTCCATGGCGAGGCGGAGGGGGGGGGGGAGACAGAGAGGACAGCTCTAGCGGCGAGAGGCCAAGAGAAGAAGGCATGAAGTGAAGGGCTGAGGCCAGATGAGGAAAGGGTACCTCTACCGCTGCCCTTCCCTCGTTTTCTTGCCCTTGTGGGCCTCCTGGGAGGCCCTCGTCGCCACGGCTGGATTCGCGTCGAACTTCAAGTCAGAACGCACCCCCGGAGAGATCCAGGGAGTAGCGGCATCGGTACCTCGTGGCTCCCACAGGAGGCCCAGGATAAAGAACCAGCGGAGTGCAAGCGGTGCAAGGAAGAGCTCAGAGGCGTGCGGGGGTAGAAGTCCAGTCAGTCGAGGTGGAGGGATGGGCGCAGGGGGTGATGGCCTGACGTGCGCGCACGTCGGCTTGGAGTGACAGGATGCCGCGGCTGCAGGGAATTCGAGGAGAGATGTCGTGTGAGGATTATCTGTGTGCACGTGTGTGCTGGTTCTGTTTCGTGTGTTTGCGTGTGCGTGTGTGTGTGTGTGCGTGTGTGTGTGTGCCTCGCCTGCGACGTAAACACAAGTAGGTGTGCGTGTGCGTGTGCGTGTGCGTGTGCGTGTGCGTGTGTGCGTGTGTGTGTGTGCGTGTGCGTGTGCGTGTGTGTGTGTGTCTGTGTGTGTGCGTGTGCGCGTGCGTGCGTGCGTGCGTGAGTGCATTTGTGTGTGTGTGTTCGTCTTGTGGCCAGGCTCGGTCCGCGACGTTTGTTTTTTGTTGGGGTGGGATGTGGCCTATCTTATCCACTACGCAAGCCAGTATAACATTGACACCGTCTGTGCTATCGCGTGCTCTGGCGGCTCCACCGCGTTAGACCCATGCATCCACGCGTATCATTCTTGATGTAAGTTCACGATAAATGCGTCTTCCTTATTTGGGGGACTTGAGGCTTTCAGCATGACCTAGAGCGCGTTGTTCAACAACGTATTTCTTATAACGAGCTTGCAAGCGACGCGAGTTGGTTGAGGATGCATGGAGGTCGTTGAAGGAAAAACATTGCAACAAGCGTTGATGAACCACTTCGGATGGCCCCCCTATCCGCCCCATGGCTTGAATGTTCAACAATGTCGGACAAATCTTGAACCCAGCATCTCGAACGCAATACTTACCAATGTGAAGGCCGGGGGTTGGAGAGATGAATTGGGTTATTTCTAGTCCGGGCGTTGTTGTTGCACAGTTTTTCCCTTCAACTTGAGGGCAAGTAGCACGGTGAAGCGACGTCTCAGGACCTGGCAGCCCGAGACTTCACCATCAACGCGATGGCTGTCGATGCTGGCCGCGGCTTATTGTACGATCCCTTCGGAGGCCTGCAGGACTCCGAGGCCCGTGCTCTGCTCCGAGATGGGACTGGCTGCTCACGGAAGAGGCGGCCGCAGAGCGGCCATGTTGCATTCGAGTGCGGTAGTGGTCGTCCCAGAAGAGACTTCAGTGGATTCACTCCGTCCTAGTCCTGCGATCTCTCATCCAGCGGTGCTATGGGTTGTCTTGCCCCCCAAGCGGTTTCAGTGAGTGACCGTATTGTCGTCGTGGCTTGGATCAGAAAGCCCGGTCAAGCAGGCAGTGAGAACAGGCCACCAGTACGACATGCTTCTTTTCTCTTGGTGTCGGATCTTCGTACCATTGGTAATGTGTTTGACCGTATGCCCAGCGCAGCAAACTGTACACAGGCTGCGGTGGTTGGTCCACTGACACTGCAGTGGAGTCCCTCGCGTCATTCCATCGGCTCGCTCTCTCCTCCCAGGTATCTCTCCTACGGCTCTCTTCCTCCTCCGGGGGACCCGACGCACCGCAAAGTCTGATGACCATCTGTCGAGGGCCCCTTCAACAAATTGTTCCGCAAGCCCCCCCATGCTTGCGGTCACCCGCAGGGGCGCGAATATAACTGCGGTTCGGATCCTGGGCTGGAGAGCTGCCCCGCTCCAAGAGGGCGTCGCGCGAGTGTGAAGATGACCGCGCCTCGCGATTCGCAAGGCGCGACACGCCAAGATAGGTGACCAGATACCCGTATACGCAGCAAGTGTCAGGGCGCTCCGAGGACGGGAGGATGTCGGACGGGGCTAGGACTAGGATAAATCCGTTCCAGAGCGTTCTGGACAGCTCTCAGCAGACCGCGGCGCCCGAGACATCCTCCAGAGCCACCGGATCTCAGAGATTCTCTTTTCATCCTCACCCGATGTTATCTTCGTCCTGGCTTCGTCTGAGGATGGCTGCGGGGCTTCGTCAGAGGAGCCACAACATCTGCGCGGCGCCCTAAGCCTTCTTTAGCTTGGGTCGTTAGAGGCCTCGCCTTCGAGGAGTCGAAGGGTTTTTGACCTCTCGCCCGCGGCTGAGGCCAGCGGAACGCCCGCGGGAGCCAGCGGACGTTGTCGGAAATTCGGGCAGACATCCCATGAGTCGACCACGAACCAATCGACACCACCCCACCTACGACCCGCTGGGTCGTAGGTGGGTCGTAGGTTGGGTGATGTCGTAGGCGGGTCGTAGGTGGGCAACTGCCTAAGCTTTCGACATCGCTGGGTCGTAGGTGGGGTGGTGTCGTTTGGCTTCTGGTCCACTGAAAGAGAGAGAGGTCAAGCCCGGCGCACCCAGGCCTTCAAGAGTCGGCCATTTGGCAGACGGGACCCGCACGAGGCGAGCATCAGCCAGGCTCACGGGCAGAAGCGATGCCTGGGCCCCTGTCTGACTTCCTCAAGACATGGCCGGAGTGTCGGCCCCAACCGCGGCACGCTGCTGAGATCTACATCCCAGAGCCGCATCCTGCGGGGGTTGCGTCTCCGACATATCTTCTCTGAGCCGGAGAATCAACCAAAGTACAGTCGAGGCGCTGAAGAAGAAACCCTTTTCGTTGGGGAGGGGCTCGGTATTCCTTAAATGTTTCACAGCTTGCCTCAGGTTTTCCTTATGTTTTCGATGGGAAATCGAAGTTTAACTTGTGGAAAAAAGGGGCCTCGTTCCTTATTCGGGGTTCCTTAGGTCAACGCCCCGACAGTACGGCGGATCCGTAGCCAGGGCGGGCCGGCGCCGCTGCCGTCGGGGTTGCCGCCGCCGCGGGAAAAAAACACACTGTGGAACAAAAACACACAGTGGAACAAAAACACACACACACAAAACAAAAAAAACACGGTGGAACAAAACGCACTGCCGCCGCCTGCTCGAGGCCGGCACGCTCCGCGCCGTGAGCGACCCGGCCTCGCTGATGCTCCGCGCGGACGCCCTGCGGGCGCTGCGGGCGTACCGCTTCCTGGGGCGCCCGGCGGGCGAGGGGCGGCCGCGGCGGCGCCCCGGGGCGGCCGCGGAAGCGGGGACTCCTCCTCGTCGTCCTCCTCCTCCTCCTCCTCCTCACTTCCTCCTCCTCCTCCTCCTCCTCCTCCTCCTCCTCCTCACTTCCTCCTCCTCCTCCTCCTCCTCCTCCTCCTCCTCCTCCTCCTCCTCTCCTCCTGCTCCTCCTATCCTCCTCCTCACACTCCTCCTCCCCTCACTTCCTCTCCTCCTCACTTCCTCCTCGCCTCCTCCTCCTCCTCCTTCTCTCCTCCTCACTTCCTCCTCCTCCTCCTCCTCCTCCTCTCCTCCTCCCCTCCTCCTCCTCCTCCTCCCCCTCTGAGGTTCACCCCCCCAGCATGCCGCCGCGCCCCTCTCGGCGCATGCGCGGGGGGCCCCCCCCCCCCCCGGTAACTTGGGTGATCGCCGGAAAGTAAAAAGCGATCCCCAACGGGGCCACCGCGAGGAGCTCCACGGCCATGAGCACCCATTGTGAGCCCCACCAGTATCGCTGCTTTGGCCAACACTCACTCCTGACCCGAGCCAGGCCCTGAGATCCGGCGTTTCGGAGAATGCCACTTCTCGTAGAGTCACGACCCGAACCCAGGACCCCGTGCGTCACCGATCTGTGATGGCCCCGGGGCCCGAAGCCGGGCGCAAGCGCCCAGAGACACTGCATCACTGGGGCCTCGGGGAAGGCTCCCCGAGAGAGCCGCCGCCGAGGCGCCTATCGACCCCAAGCGCGGAGCAGTGTGGCCTCGCAAGGCCCTCGCCACCCACGCCACCCCCGCCCCGTCGTCGTGAGCCCCACGGGTATCGCCGCGTTGGCCCAGACTCGGCCCAGACCCGACCCAGACTCTGAGCGAGCCGCCGCCGACAGGCGCCACTCTCCACTCTGGACGCCCGAAATTGGTACGGAAAGAATGGGGAACGATGCCCAACAGCAGTTCCTGTTCATTTGGAACCGGACTCGCTGTCCGCGCCGCCGCGGCCTGTGTCCATTTGAGAGCCGCCCGCCCAACAGCGGCCGCTGTTGGTTTGGAACAACATGTGTTGTTGGGCATTGTACCCACTCTTTCCGTACCCATTTCGGGCGTCCAAATCCACCCCCGCCCGCCGATAGCCATGGCCTCGCGCGCCCTCGCCGTCCTCAGCTGCGCCGGCGGCGCCGCCGCGTTCGTGGCCCCCAGCGGCGCGCAGCCCGCGCCGGCGCTCCGAGCCGCCGCGGCGCGGCCGGCGGCACAGGCTCGAGAAGGGCGCCAGCATCTATAATCATGTCGGGCGTGTCCCCCTATTTCGACGGAGAAAAAAAATATCCCAAACATGCCCCAAAAAGGCAAAAAACGTATTCAAAAAATAGTCCCCAGACTATTTGTGGATTATTTTTTGATTATTTGGGGGGTATCTGTTATTTTTCGTCGAAAATCTCCCTCTAGGGGGACAGGCCCGACCTAAAGCCAGCATCTATAATTGCGGCGGCTACACGGAAGAGTGACCTTTCGCTGGAGCGACTCTGGTGCGGGCCCAAAGGGGCCCCCGATCGCAGAACGCGATGCGGTAGCAGTGGCTTGCGCGCCAGGTGGTGTCCCCACGGGCCCCCCTTGGGCCGCGCACCAAGGAAGCATCCTCGCTCAGGGTCGCTCCTGCGCGTGGCCGATATACGGCGGGGGCGTTCGCCGAAGGAATGTGTCGAGAGTCATCCAGGGTCGGGGGAACGTGCGGTTCGAGTTTACTGGAGCTCGGGTTCGCCGACGCTCTTTCGACGGGCCCGTGCTGAGTCTTTAACGGCCCAGTTCTCGTGGGACGTCTGCAGCGCGAGCTCGCGTCCAGTTCCAGATGAGGCCAATCCACGATTGGTGTTCCAGCGGCTCCCAGCCCCTGGGTTCCTTGTCCAATGTTTCCTTGTCCAGTGCCCTCACCGTAGTGGCACACCTGCGCCGATGCTGGCCAGCCCGATCCTGTCTCATCGGTGTGCAGACGCGGATGGCGGGGAAGATCAAGAGGAGGCGGAGGAGGAGGAGGAGGTGGAGGAGGAGGAGGTGGAGGAGGAGGAGGAGGAGGATGAGGAGGGGCATCCTGGGAGCCTCTGGGGACACTGTTAGGGCCTCCTGGGAGCTTCCTGGGAGCCTCTTGGACATTTGGGGGCTTCTCGGGGCCTCTTTGACCGTCTTGGTGGGCTCCAGGCCCGTCTGACGCCGTCCTGGCCTGGGCAGGAGGAGGCACCTGAACACACCGATCCTGGGCCCAGTCTGAGCCTGGCCAGAGTCGGCGCAGGCGTACAGTTGGCGGCGCGCTTGGCGCACTGCATTTCCCCAGCCTCCTCCTCCTCCTTCTTTCCCTTCCTCCTCTTCCTTCTCCTCCTCCTCCTCCTCCTCCTCCTCCTCCTCATCATCATCATCATCATCATCATCATCCTCCACTCACTAACACGCGAACGGAAGCGTACCTGTTACCTTTCACCTTTGCATGGCCTCCCCGTGCCGACGCTGTTTTTGTTCTGGGGTACGGAAGTTGGCCAAGCTTCCGTGCCCGCTTTTTACACGCCTTATACCATCCGCCTTGTACTTCGCGCTGCTGAAAAATACGCATTCCACCTCTACGTCTTCACTTCTAGTTGGACGCGGAGCTGGTGCACCCCTGTCCCCCCGACGGCCGCCATGTCCCGCCTCGCGTCGACCGCAATGGCTCCCACCCCCCGCCGCCTTCGACTCCGTTCAATCACCTTCAACATCTCTGCCTTTGTGCATTCCCTTCCCTTCGCTCTGGCAGGGGACGTTGCTCTACGGTTCGTCGGGGCTGTGCCAGCCCATCCGCCTTGACCCGCGACCGGGGGCGTGCGCAATTAGCATTTCAAGGACAACTCCATCAAGATCTACGACCCATCCCTGGCCGGTCTGCGACCCATCCCGGGCATGCTCGGACTGTGTCTAAGCAGTTCGCGGACCCCAAACTGTCAGCGTTTCCGCCCGTGGGGGTAGCCTCAGGTGTTTGACAGCTGCTAGACACAACGTTGACATCTGCGGTGTCAGAGCAAGGTCGCGAGTTTCTTCGGATTGTGTCTCGAGGGCCGTGGGAAAAGCAAACAGAGGAGACACATCCGGTGAGCGCGTCGCTGGTGCCGAGCGGGAATGCAATGGGGGGCATGGGAAGTGCGTTCAGAAACCTCCCGAGGTAACGCAGTGGAGGGCATGGCGATTGGGACGCCATCATTCCGAGGCACCACACCTCGAGACCCGACCCTTCGCTTTACCGACTCAGACGCGACAGCCTGGCAGGACGGGATCCCGATGTGCGCTCCTCTGGACGATCGTGCAACTCGCGGTGCTGAGTGCAGTGGCCACGCGACGCACGAAGGGCATTCCCGTGATTGTGTCGCGGGATGCTCCAATCACCGTGAGCACGCCCAACGCGCCGACGAGGAGGAGCACATTCGGGGCAAGTAACCTCGGCGATTCATGCAACGCCGCTCGGGGACCCTGGCCTCCAGCACCCCTGCGACGTGTGGAGGGAGCTACACTCTGGATGGAAGGCCGTCGGAGTCGGCGCGTTCGCCAAACTGCATCGCCTGCATGGACGTGGGTGGCGGCGGCAGCAATATGCGCCACCTCCGCACCTGGGGGCCCGAGCGCCAGGCTCGCGTGCATTCCCAGCAATGGGTGCGCGAGGTGATGATCTGTTCAAAGGCGAAGCCTTAACGCGTTTCGCCAGGCGGCCTACGCCCCGTCGCGCCTTGCCGGCATGGCGCGCGCGCGTGGAGGAGTGGCCGCCGGCTGTCCTGATCCAGGGAGGTTTCATCAACGGCAACCCATTGCCACCGATGACCCCCCCACCCACAGCTCGGCCGAACGGCGGAGCCAGCTGGGCGAGGGGGGCGCGCGCCTCGGCAACATCGGCTCTGGTGAACTTCAACCGACTGCCGCGGGAGCGCATCGACAACCTCCTGACGAGGTTCGATGTCCTCCGCAACCGGGCGCAGCCACCTGGTCAATTCATGATCGGCGACGAGAGGCCCAGCTTCTTCCTCCTGCGCGCCGCTGGCCTGTCGAACGCAAAGCTCGCAGTGCCCCCGCGGCGCTGCAACGCGGCCTACCCGCGAACGTTCAGCAGCTCACTCATAAGAGGGGCCGGCTGAGACGACTTAAACACATGATAGAGGCGTCGTCAGGTAACCTCGCCTCGGCGGCCCACTCTGCCCAACGGCGCGCGCCCCTCGCGGGCGCGCCCACGCAGGCGCAGAGCCGGGGCGGCGCGGGTCCTGCTGCGTCGGGATCGGCGCCAGCCGCGAGGCCGCGTCTGGAGACCTGCGCCGCTAGCGCGGCATCGCCGGCACGGGGGGCGTGCCCAGCTGCAGCGGAGACCGACTCGGGCACCGACGCCGACGCCGCCAGCTCATTCGGCGAGGAGATAGCCGCCAACGACCCCGAGCTACGCGACATTCCCGTGGAACAACGTGGCGCGCGCCTCTTCTGGGCTTACGAGCGCGCAAAAGCACGCTGGCGCAGCTTCGACATCCACGAGCCCGCGCGCCGCGTTCGGGGGGTCATCAAACGCATGGGCAAGGGAAAGTTGAAAGTCGCCGCGCTTTTCTAGGCGCCCTTCCTGAGAACGACCTAGGGCCTCTGGGAGACCTTCGCGGGCTTCGGGAAGGGCGAAGGCAAGGGGGAGGGGGGGTTCAGGGCCACGGGCGCGGGTTCGGGCCGCCAAGGCAACCCCGTTGGCCCTGGCGGGGTGCGCCCCACATGCCGCGAGTGCGACTCCGAAGAGCACCTAGCTAGTGCGCGACTGCCCCGGGCGCCGCCCGCGAGGACGCGCGCCCTTCCTCAACGCTTATGCCCCGGCGCCAATCAGCGCCATCATCCTGATCGCGTGCTCTTCGGGGACAGCAAGGGCCGCCGGGGCCGACCGAGCAGCGGCCCGTGCCGGGGGCGCGCGCGGTCTGGATGACCAGGGGCACCTCCGGGACTCCTCGGCCTGTGGCCGGGGGCACCGGGAACGGCGATCCTTTCCGGAGCGTTGACCCTTGGAATGACGGACAGCCAACTCCTGCAGCGTCGGCGCCACGGCCATCAGCGCCAGCAGCCACTCCAAGTTCTCGAACGGCTCGTGGCAACCGATTTTCCATAACCATTGGTCAAGTCGGGTGGGGGCACCGCCGTCGTCCTCGCCTTCGCCGCACGAAGCCTAATTACAACGACTGCGACAGGAGATGGCCGACCTGACGCGCCGTGCGCAATCCTTTGCAGAACCGACGGTTACTGCGACTGCGTCGCCAGGCCGTCCAGCAGCAACGGGGGAAGCACCACCAGCTGCACCAGCTGATCAGGAGGGTGCACCAACAGCACCAGCAGCATCATCAGCCTCAGCGGCACCACCACCGCTGACAGAACCACAGTGGTGGACGCGCGCGGGCGCGCGGGCGGTGCATTCTCACTGGGACGAACCCGGGGTTGCTTCAATGCGCGCGTCGCCGCGCCCGCAACCCAGCCTGCCGACGTGCAGTTGCCGAGCTAGGCTTGCGCGCCTTCTGTCTCAGCCATCGGCATCAGCGCGCCACCTGCATCGAGCTCCACGTGGCCCCCGCAGTCCACGCCGGCACTACCTCACCGCGAGTGCCGGACTCTCCGACTAGGCTCTGTCCTATCAGAACAGCCCTGTCGAGTGGCCATGTGGTTCACTGGCCGCGACACTTGGATGTCTGGCGGCCCGATCCGAGCGCGACGCCCACGCCGCCCCCGACCATGCGCGACGACGGCGCGTCGACGAGCTCCACGGCACACAGAGGGCGCTTGAGACCGCGCGGCAGGAAGGTGAGCAACGACGCCAGGCCGCGCAGAGTTGGACGGAGACACTTGTTAATCCTCTGTGCCGGCCGCTGCGCCGACTGCTCGCCTCCCTCGGTGGCGACGTTGAGCGGCGACGACAGGGAGTGCCGCATCTGCCTGGAGTCATTTTCCAGCACGGAGAGTGGGCGGTGCGCCTGCAGTGCCGCCACTTCCTGCGTCAAGCATGCCACCTGCAACTTTTGCAGAGCACAGACGCCCGTTCGGCGCACTGTCCGGCGTGCCGCGGACGAGCAGACGTCATCGTCGAGTTCCGCTTCATTGGTGCGGATCGTGCACCGACGGTTCAGGCGCTTGTGGCACCGTCCCGCGCGGCAGCAGTCAGTGCACCCGCGGTTCCGGCAACTGCGTTGCCGGCCCGCGCAGCGTCGGACAGGGGCACGCCAATGGAGATCGCAACGCAGCTGGACCATGCACCATGCGCAGTCTCCTCGGCCAGCCCCAGCCCCCAGGGCGCATTGGCCAGACCTCATGCGGTCTCCGGGCAGCGCATCCAGCATTTGTCCGCAGTGGACACGAATGTGCCTTGCGACGCACAGCACAGCTGGACATGCACGTGCCCCCCTACTGGCCGACGTCACCGATGTGGCCGACTTCGTCGGGCACGCGCCCGAGTGCATCAGACGACTCGCCGTGCTACTTGGCGAGCGCCGCCTTGCCAGGTGGCTGGTTAGGCGTCATAGTCGACACCGGCGCTGGGACCAGCCTCTGGGGACTGCGTTTCGCCGTGAATCTGCCGCGCAAGGCCCAACCCGCCGAGGAGAAGTTGTCGTTTTCATTCCACGCAGCGGGAATCGGCAACGGGTCACAGGTAGCGAACTACGAGGTTCACTGCCCCATCGCAACGACTTCCGGCGACGGCGTGACCGGTCAGCGCAGCATGCGCGCCCCAGACGTGGAGGGCGCAGGAGCTGCTCCCTGCCCAGCTAAGGTCTGCAGCCCACGCAATCCAACAACGGGGTGGTGGAGACAGGCTTTGACCACAAGCGCCTCGCGTTTTCCGGACCAGGCGGCTACGAGATCATGGGGCCCCGGCACCATCCACTTCGACCTCGTGTCGGCGTCGAGTGGCAGTTTGTGAATTCCTGTCGACGACTACGACAGGCTTAATCCGCGCCCCAGGGGCATGCCGCCCACGCAGCTCGCCCTTCTGGCTGCGGGCAACGACGACCAGGATTCCGACGCCACCGGCGGCCGCGAGTTCCAGAAGCCAGGCACCCTCGCGGGGCGCGCCCGGGGCCGCGGGCCACGACCTACGCGTGCGCGGACGTCAGTATCGCGACCTGTGGTCGTGAACTGGCATCGACGGGCATGGCGGCCCTAGCACGGCCGGGCACCTGCCTGCGCATCGCCCCCCGCTCGAGCGTCAAAGAGATCGACGTCGCGGGAGGCGTGGCGGGCCCCGACTTCCGCGGCGAGACCAAGGTGACCATGTCCAACGCTGGCCCGCGGACGTACTTGGTCTAGCAGGGCTTTCGCATCGCCCCACTCATCCTGGAGCGCATCGCCAGCGATGCCGAGATCGTTGTCGTCCCCAACCATCCTTCGACATCTCGTGGATCTGGAGGCTTCTGAAACACTGGCATGACGTTCCTCGGCCGAGATTCCACAGCGAGAGAGCGAGTCAGCACATCCGCGGGGTTTCTCGGTGACTGCGTCATTGATGAAGGCTCCGAGGAGCCCTCACTGTGCCTCGTTCGCTTCCCCTGCCAACAGCTACCGTGCCCCCGATGGGACTGGTGGACGCACTGGATTATGTTCCTCGTCTCTATCGGCAAAGAGGTCTGTCCGTGATGCCCCGCGCCGTCGGTAGCAGGTAGATTCCGTCACAGTGATCGCGGCCCTCGTGGTTTCGGTCCTGTTTGTTGTCGGTCGGGCCCCTCCGCTCGTTTGTCTGCGGGCCCTGGGGCCTGCCCCTCGTTCTCTTTCGGCCCCCATCGGGCCCTTCCGTCGCGCGTCGGCCACGCGCGGGAGGTATCTTTCTGACGATAGCCCGAGGATGCATCAAAAATCCCCCTCCTCCTCCTCCTCCTCCTCCTCCTCCTCCTCCTCCTCCTCCTCCTCCTCCTCCTCCTCTTCCTGTACGTGCATGCGTGCGTTCGTTGTTTCAGGGCCCGCGGAGAACAATTTTCCGGCGCTTGGGCGCCACCTCTTGCTCTTATGGGGCCGTCTTCCGGGACGACTGTCGGCGCCTATATGCTCCCAGGGCGCGCCCAGTCAGGAGCGGTGCGTGTGTGCGCCCGGGATGTGCGACGTCTTGATTTTTTCCATGCGCGCGGTCCCCGGAAAATTTGACCCTTACTTCCCCCAGGGCTGGCTTTCCGTCCCGACCCGTTTTTTTGATCGGGCTAAAAATTTATTGTCGCGATGTTGTTCGCGGCGCGGTCATGTTTGGGCAGCGGGCGCCCTCCCACTCTAGGCCTCAAGATGGGATCCGAGCGCATGGGGTCGGAGGGTCGCGCCGCATCGCCGATGCATCGTCGATGCGGCTCGATGCGGAACCCGATTTCCTCCACGCCGTCGGCGCCGATGCATCGCCGACGCATCGCCAGTGCATCGCCAATGCATCGGCGATGCATCGCCGATGCGTAGGCGATGCGGCGCGCTCCCCCGACCCTATCTAGGGGCGTCGGTTCCACAGTGCCCCCAAGCCCGGGTCAGCCAGAGAGGACGAAAATAGGGGAGTGGCTTATCCCCGTTGGCGCGGACCCCGTTCGCGTGCGCCCTGGGCGATGCGCGGTTGCTGGTTACTGGCTTCCCTGTTCACGCGGGGCCCCACCTCGACCTCCGACCCCCTTAGATGCCTCGATACGCCCGTTTTGATACGCAATGCGACCCGTGTTCAAGACGTCCGTGTCAATACGTTGCGTGTTGGCTCCACGTATTGGGCCACGTTTTGGCGAATGTATCGCGTCGGACCTACGTTTTCAGCCTACGTGTTGAGCTCCGTATCCATACGCTACGTGTTGCGTGTTGCGTATCGGGGCAGCTAAGCCGATCCCATACGGCAAGCTTCTACCCGCAGGCGGCGCAGCCCGCGGCCGCGGCGGCGGCCCCGTGGGCGGCGGCGTCCCTCGCGGGCGTGGGCGCCGGGCTGGCGGCGGCGGCGGGCAGGCGCAAGGCCGCGTGCAGGGCGAAGGGCGGCGCCTTCGACCCCGCCGCGCAGGTGGGCGCCACCGCGCCGTCGCCGCCAACGTCGCCGCCTCCGCCGCAGCCGCCGCCGCCGCAGTCGCCGCCGCCGCAGTCGCCGCCGCCGCCGTCACCGCCGCAGTCGCCGCCGCCGCAGTCGCCGCCGCCGTCGCCGCCGTCGCCGCCGCAGCCGCCGCAGTCGCCGCCGCAGTCGCAGCCGTCGCCGCCGTCGTCGCCGCGCCTTCGACCTCGCCGCGCAGGTGGGCGCCACAGCGCCGCTGGGGTACTGGGACCCCGCGGGCTTCTGCAGCGACGGCAAGGATCGAAGAAGGTACAAATCCACCACAGCCGGGTTCATTTCGATGCCTCCGACCCGATATTCGATTTGGTGTCGATTCCGATTCCGAATCGATTTGGTTTCGGATTCTGATGTGGGCTTCGGTGTCTCAATGGAGGCCTCTCTAGCCTGCCTCTGTCCGGCCGATTCGACATAAGCTGAGCATTTTCGAGGGACGATAGTCTGCACAAGCATAATCTCTCGGAGCTCCGCGCGGATTTCTTGGATGTGCGCTGGACGCCCCTTAACGGCGCCTCTGGCGCCGCCCCTGGCGCGCTCCTCGCGCCAGGGATGGGGGGTCAAGCGCCGATGCCCGCGCGGACCTCCGGGAAATTATGTTTACGCTTCTGCAGCGACGATGGGGATCGAATGAGATAAACCGACCACAGGCTCCCGCAGTTGCCCTGCACGAGCAAGATGGGCACGGAAAGAATGGGTACAATGCTCAACAGCAGTTCCTGTTCATTTTGAACAGGACTCGCTGTCCGCGCCGCCGCGGCCGGTGTCCATTTGAGACAGAAGGCCGCCTGCCCAACAGCGGCCGATGTTGGTTTGGGACAACATTTGTTGTTGGGCATTGTGCCAATTGTTTCCGTGCCCACTTCGGGCGTCCAAAGTTGCGGATACCAGAGGGCCCCCCTGGCACGCCCCCGAATGCATGAGAAGAAAGCACGGCATCAACATGAGCTTTCGGAGGCATGTGCGGGTTTCTTGGTTCGGCGCTGGACCCCTCTGGCTCCCTGGCGCGCGGAGCTCGCCGGGGGCGGCGCCAGGGGGCCCATCGCCGATCCGAGGAATCCGAGCGGACCTCTAAAAGTGTACCATAGCACCCGCAGTTGCGGATAAGAGCGAGGTGGCGGCGGGGTCGTCGGTAGTTTGCGAGGTTCTGAAGAAGCCCGCCGCAGGCGCATATATTTTCAGACATTGCACAACAAGCGCGCCGCAGGCGCCGACTTTTCGTCCAAGTAATGTGAGTGGGTTGCGGACGGGTCGCGTGTGGGTCGCGGGCGGGTCGCAGGCGAAACCGGCGACGACGACAACAACAACAACAACAACAACAACAAAAGCAGCAACAACAACAACAACAGCAACAATAACAACAGCAACAACAACAACAACAACAACAACAACAACAGACATAAGCAGAATCCGCGCCGCGAAATCCCAGTTCAGCCACGCACCCAGGGACTGTGTAAGACCGCTCGGTCCTTCACTCTGACAGAAGCATAAGACATTGACGCTTCTCGTGTCCCTCCCCGCCAGCCCATTCAGAAACGCTTCCCAGGCGAGTTGCGGCGATCAGGAAAGTGTAGGAGCATTTGGCGGGGCAATGAGGCGGTTGGGGGGGGGCAGGGCAGCTGTCAAGCCGACTGTCGAGATCAGCCTGAGCAGGCCTAGGAGTGAACCACACATACTTTCGCGGATCTTTCGATGTGGGAGCATCTTGGCAGCTTGCGTAGACCATCCTGGGGCCTTCTTGGGAAGGCTTTTGGGACACTCTTGGGGCTCTCTTGGGGCCCTCTGGGCAGCCCTCTTTGGGGCCATCCTGGAGGCCATCGATCAACGAAGCGAAGTAGTTAATTACTGCCCCCCTCAGAGTCAGCAAAGTCGCCTCTTGTGCCCTCCTGGGGCGCTCTTGGGCGGCCTTGGGGCCGTCTTGGGGCTCTCTTGGGTGATCTTGGAGTCTTGCGGCATGAAGAGCCCGTCGGAAGCGAAAAGGCGAGAATCCACAAATCATGGCTGCCCTTACGGTTTGGGAGTGATTTGGGGTTCGCGTGGGGTTCTTTTGGGGGACTCCGTGGCCACTTGGAGCCGTCTCGGGACGGCCATGGCGCCTCTTGGAGGATCTTGGAGGCATGTTGGATGCTATCTTGAGCTATCAGTTGAACTATCTTATGCAATCTTCGAGGCCAGATTGGGCTATCTGAGGCCCTCTTGGGGCCATCGTGGGGCCATCTTGGACGCTCTAACCCCATCGCGGCCCCCCTCCCCTGCCGCAGGGGAAGATCCGGCGCCGATCCAAGAGATCCGCGCGGACCTCCGAAAGCCCCACCAGCCCTCTGGGCGCAGGTGGCTGAAGGGGTCAGCTCTTGCAGCCCCCTTCTTCCCTCTTCGAGGAGAGGTCTGCTTCGTTCCCTGCTGCCCAGGGAGCTTCCCGAGAAGTTAGAGCGTCCAAGATGGCCCCCAACAGGGCCCCAGACGCTCTGTGCAGCTCTCCTTCCTCTCTCTCTCTTTGGCCAGGGGCTGGCAGGGCTGCTCGCGCTCCGACCTGGCCCCGTCCCCGAACTTCGGCTCTGGCTCCGATCCGGCCTGGTCCGACATTCCAGCCTGAAGTCGGGCCTGTCCCCCTACAGGGGGATTTTCGACGAAAAAGGTAAAAAAATATTCCAAAAATAGTCCCCAGACTATTTTTGGATTATTTTTCGATTATTTTGGAGGTATTTTTTATTTTTCGTCGACAATCCCCCCGTAGGGGGACAGGCCCGACTTGATTCTGGCCGCTCCCCTCCCCAGCCCAGCAGAGCCCGCTCCACGATCCCGAGCGAGCCGTTCCCGATCCGCTTCCGCGCCGGTCCGGGCTCGGGTCGGGCGAAAGGGGGGCTTTGGGAAAGGGGGGGTTACGAAATCTGCTGCATGCAGCTTGTTTCGGCCCCGCCGCCGGGCCCATTCCTCGATACATGGGCGCCTCCCGGCGCCTCCCGGAGCTGATTCTCAAACCCCCCCTTTGCTATCCCCCCCTTTCGCCCGGCCCGACAGGCGCGGTGCGAACCGATCCGTTGCCGATGCGATGCGAAGTCGCGGCTCGATGCGGCCCAGGCCCAGCCGGGCCCGACGCCTGGACCGCTTCCCCTCTGCAGGGGGTTCCCGCTCTGGCCCGAAACGTCCGCGCGGGCCTCCGAGAGGGTATGGTCGTGAACTGGGGCTTAGCGTTAAGTCGGGCCTGTCCCCCTACAGGGGGATCTTCGACGAAAAATAAAAGACACCCCAAACATAGGCCAAACAGAGTCCAAACATAGTCTGGGGGCTATGTTTTGAGTATTGTTTGACCTTTTTTGGGGGTATGTTTGGGTGTGTGTTTTTATTGTTCGTCGATGATCCCCCCTGTAGGGGGACACGCCCGACATAAACCAGGAGGGGAAAAAACACAGACACCAGTAATCGTCGATCCCCAGGAAAATATGGGAAGTGGGGGGGAAGACAACAACCCAGAAAACATGGGAAAATATGGGGAATCCTGTTGTTTGTGTGTGTGTGTTTATTTGTGTGTCCCAGGGTCCCTTCAATAAGCCAAGGGTCCACGCCTCGAGGTTTGCCCAGCCTCCCGCCCCGCGCGGAGCCCTGCGACACAAGCCATCCACGCTCGCAGGGCACCGCGTGCCGCCAGAGGGCCGCCGCCGCGACGCGCCGAGCAGAAGCTCCCGGCCGCAGGTCTGTGCAGACTTCCCTTCCCCTCGTCGGACGGAGCTAGGATTACGTCGGGCGTGTCCCCCTACAGGGGGCTTTTCGACGAAAAATAAAAAAATACCCCAAAAAGAGTCCAAAATTAGTCTGGGGACTAATTTTTGAGTATGTTTTTTTTTTTGTTTACCTTTTCGGGGTTTGCTTGGGGTATTTTTTATTTTTCGTCGAAAATCCCCCTGTAGTGGGACAGGCCCGACCTAAAGCTAGGACGAGGATAAATCCGTTCCAGAGCGTTTCGGAGTGCTCTCAGGCCGTTCTGGAACGCTCTGAGAAGGCCGCCGCGCCCGAGAGACGTCCTCCGGAACCGCCGGATCTCGGAGAGATTCCCGCTTTTGATCCTCGCCCGAATTTACCCTCTTCCTGGATTCATTTTCCCTCGAGGAGGAGACCTTCGACGACCTGCGCGGCAAGGAGCTGAAGCACGGGCGCGTGGCCATGATGGCGATCATCGGCTTCCTGGGCACCGGCGCGGGCTGGCGCTTCCCGTGGACCGAGGGCGTGCCCGACGGCGTGGCCGCCCTGCAGAACGGTGGCGGCCCCTTCCTCGGCATCTTCTTCCTCATCTTCGGGTTCTCGGCATCGTTTCGTTCGATGCTCGTTTTGGGGACCTTCCTGGGGCCCACCTAATGGATCTGTTCGACTCAGGTTCGACTCAAGTTCGACTCAGGTTCGACACAGATTCGACTCAGATTCGACTCAGGTTCGACTCAGCTTCGACTCAGGTTCTACTCAGGTTCGACGCAGCTTCGACGCACGAGTGGAGCGAGTGGCTCCAGGAAGGTCCCCAGAATGCGCATCTAAGTTTCGCAGACCCCTGCCAGCGTTTTCGACAAAAGGAAGGGGCCCAGGTACAACGACAGTAGACGATGGCGCAAGAGCCCCCCCCGGCGCCCCCGATTTCAATGCTCACCCAAGCGCACACGCCGCGGTCAGCAAAGGCGGGCACTTTATTCCTCAGCGGCTCGCAGGTCCCCCGCGTCGAACGTCCCGAACTTTGGATGTGGGGCAGGGGGGGTGGGCCCGCTCCAACACGCATCAGAGATGGGAGCGTGTGTTTTTTACCACGGCATCTCCCCGATCCGCATCCAGACCTCCACCATCTCAGCCCCCCCAGTTGGGGATATACCCCTCGAGACCCGCAGGAAACAGCCCATGTTCCCATCTAGGGGGGGTAGATCAATCGGCCAGTGGGGCCCAGACCACGCCGTTGGGTCGGATAAACGATGCTCAGGTTTTTCGAGCTGAAGATCATGGACGACCTCGAGAAGGGCGATAGGAGAAGAAGCAGACTGCATAAGCATAAGCTTTCGGATGTCCGAGCGGATTCCTTGGATCGGCGCTGGGCCCCCTTGGCGCGTTCCGCGCCAGAAATGGGGGGGTCCAGTGCCAATCCAAGACATCCTCGCGGATTCCCGAACGTTTATGTTTATATATTTGATTGGTTCTCCGAGGCAACAAGCCAGGCAACTTTGGCGACCCGTTCAAGATGGCATCGACCGGCCTTCTGGGAGGCTACGACGAGAACTGGCGCAACTTCGAGCTGAACAACAGTCGGATGGCGATGATCGGCGTCATCGGCACCATCGTGGCCAGCGCCTACACGAACCTGGACGTCTACGCGCAGTGGCAGGGAGGCAAGGAGGCGTCCATCGCTTTCCTCAAGCTGACCCTGCCCTACTCTCCCTGAGTGCCGAGGGGCAGGTCGGCGATTTTTTAAAACACGGTTTCGCCCTGACGTGATGTTGGAGTGACCCTTGTGCCTTGAGTTTGGTCATAAAGACATGAGATGTCATCATTATCGAGTACCATCGGGAGCTTCCTCACGAGCAGCGTCAGAACACCGTCAGGAGTAGCATCAAGACCTTTAGCATGAGCATCGCTGTTACGGGCGCCATCAATGAAGTAGAGACAGGTGAGGCTGATGATGAAGAGGAGGAATGGCAGGGGTAGTGGGAGGTGATTGAAACAGAATGAGCTCCATCAAAAGCACCTCCCTTCTGAGTAGTTTAAGCAGCTCTACCGTTCGGATCCCGCGTGGGACTCCACCATGAGCACCATCATCAGACACGCCATCAGCATCATCACCATCCAGAGGAGCAGGAGGAAAGATGAGGATCACCAGTACCTCCGACGGGGTGATTTTCTCTATCCGTGCGCTCCTGAAGCTCGCGAAGCATGCACCGTTCGAGCCTTTCCCGGCCTCTCGTCCCACGAAGCAGAGCGACGCGCTCTCAGCTTGCAAGGCGCAGCGCGTTACAGGAGCCGCCACCGCTGCGACATGCTAAGAAAAAGTTCCTGAGCGTACAGTGCCGTTTTCAATACATGCTCCGCGTGCGGATCATGTATTAGAAATGCAGGGATTCAGTACTAAAAACAACGATAAGTTCTTGCATAAATTCATTCATAAATTAATCATGGATTAAACATCGTTTTTTTATTTATTTTTTATGTTTTATTTTTTTTAAACAAAAAATCATATGTATTAAAAATTGCCTGTAAGAAAAAAATCCTGAGCGTAGCCCGCTCGCCACGAGCCCGCATTACATGGTATTTTTGCCACCGCCGTGCCCACCGCCCCGCCAGCTGGGCGGACCGGCTCAGCGCTCCAAAAGGGAGAGCGCGCGACCCGCCAGAACTGTCCCGGCATGCCTCCCGGCAAGACGCCCTGGATCCAACTTGTCCAGGAGTAAGGGGAGGTGGAGGGGGGGGAGGAGGAGGAGGAGGAGGAGGAGGAGGAGGAGGAGGAGGAGGAGGAGGAGGAGGAGGAGGAGGAGGAGGAGGAGGAGGAGAGGAGAAGGAGGAGGAGGAGGAGGAGGTGGTTGATGAGGAGGAGGAGGAAGAAGAGGAGGAGGAGGGGGGCCATGGCTGAAGAGGTGGAGGAGGAGCAGGAGAAGGAGATGGCGGAGGAAAGAGGAAGGATGAAGGTAGGAGCAGGAGCAGCAGCAGTAGGAGAAACGCGGAGCAGGAGAAGGAGGAGGAGGAGCGGCAGCAGCAGGAGCAGGAGGATGAGGCTGATTCTGATGATTGGGGTGTTTATGATAATGATGATGATGATGATGATGATGATGATGATGATGATGATGATGATGATGATGATGACGATGACGATGACGATGACGACGATGACGACGATGACGACGACGATGATGATGATGATCATGATGAGGAGGAGGAGGATGATGGTAATGATGATGTTGATGGTGATGGTGATGACGATGGCGATTCTGATATGATGCTGCTGCTGATGATGAAGGTGATGATGATGATGATGATGACGATGATTATGATGGTTGTGATGGTTGTCACGATGATGTTGATGTTGATGATGACGATGGTGGAGATGATGATGATGATGATGATGATGACGATGATGATGATGATGATGATGATGATGATGATGATGATGATGATGATGAATGCGACGATGGTGACAGTAGTGAGTACTATGATTGTGATGATGGTGGAGTGGTGGTGATGATGATGGGTATACTGGTGCTGCTGCTGCTGATGTTGATGCTGCTGCTGGTGATGATGATGCTGATGCTGCTGATGCTGCTGGTGCTGATGATGATGCTGATGATGATGATGATGATGATGATGATAGTGATTGTGATGGTGATGGCGACGCTGATGATGCTGATGATGATGATGATATTGATGCTGATGCTGATGGTGAGGGTGATGGTATGATGATGATGGTGATGATGATTTTGGACCTAGGTACGCCGCAAGATCTGCAGGCTGATGGCACGCCAACAACCTACCGCGCTCGAGTGAGACCCAAGCTGCCAAGAGTGCAAGCTGACTCAGCTCAAAGCAACCTTGCAAAGGCCTTTGTCCACGAGCAACCCGCCTCCAGATAAGTGAAGGTGCCAGGGTCTTCACAGCGACGTGTACGCAGCAAGCGACATTCGCGCTGGATTGCATCATCAGATAAGCCATTCGGCTAGCGAGGATCGTCAGTTATTACGGTCTGTGGGGCAAAGCATTGCGGCTGACCGCACACACGCAGCCCAGCGCACACGCCTTGCAGGCACCCTCGTCTAGTTCGCAGAACGGGTGGCGATTTACCCGTCACTTGGCCGTGCCACCCCACGCCCACAGGCTTCTTCTCGTTACCCGTATCGTTCCCCAACTCGTGCTTGCACTTAGGGGCCCTTAGTTCCGAGTCACGGAATTGTTTAAGTATTTCGGGTTGTCGCCAAGGTGCCGCCCATGTCGTTTCGTGGACGCCTCGTGGGTGCCCCGCGCTCGGGGGGGGGGGGGGGTATGCCGAGGTTTCGCCGTGTTGCCGCCTCGTGGGCCCCGTGCGCTATGTGTGTGTTGTGTGTGTGTGTGTGTGTGTGTGTGTGTGTGTGTGTGTGTGTGTGTGTGTGTGTGTGTGTGTGTGTGTGTGTGTGTGTGTGTGTGTGTGTGGGCTCGCCGAGGTTTCGCCACGTTGCCATTCTCAAGCGGATCGAGCCACCTATGATGATGGCGATACGTACTTATGGTGATGATCATGGTCATGGTGATGGCGAAGGAGACGACGACGACGACGACGACGACGACTACGACGACGACGATGCTGATGATGATGATGGTGATGATGATGATGATGCGGATGATGATGATGCTGATGATGACGATGCTGATGATCCTGATGATCATGACGATGCTGACGATGCTGATGATGATGATCATTATGGTGATGGTGGCGATGGCGGTGATGGTGATAGTGATGGTGATGGTGATTGTGATGGTAATGATGATGATGATGATGATGATGATGATGATGATGATGATGATGATGATGATGGTGATGGTGATGGTGTTGATGGTGTTGATGGTGATGTTGATGCTGCTGATGATGTTGATGGTGACGATAATGACGATGACTATGACGATGCTGATGGTGGCGATAATGATGATGGCGAGTATGACGGTGATGGTTGTGGTGACGGTGTTGGTGTTGGTGTTGATGATGATGTTGATGGTGATGCTGTTGATGATGATGTTGGTGTTGATGATGATGATGATGATGATGATGATGGTGGCAATGGTGCAGGTGGAGGTGAAGGTGAAGGTGATACCGATGGTGATAATGTTGGCCAGTCTTGCTAGTATTGTTGTTAAGATGACGGACGCGATTCCCATTATGATGAGGATGACGGCGACGTTGCTTACGACGGTGATTATGATATTGTTCATGGTTGTGGTAGTGATGATGTTGTTGATAATGATGGTGAAGATAATGCTGATGATGATGGTACTGATGCTGATGATGACGATGATGATGATGATGATGATGATGATGATGATGGTGATGATGATGACGATGGGAATGGTGATGATGACGGTAGTGATACGACTGAAGAAGAAGATTATGATGCTGATGGTGATGATGATGGTGTTGGTGGTGGTGGTGACTAGGATGACGATAATGATGGGGGAATTCGGAGGAGACCTATCATGATGATAGAAGGAGGAGGTGCACGAGGAGGACGAAGCCGAGGAACAGGAGGAAATGAAGGCTGAGAGAGGTAGGTACAGGAGGAGAGGGGCCGAAGGAGGAGGGAGGTGAAGGAGGAGGAGGGAGGAAGAGGAGGAAGGGATGAAAAGGAGAAGCAAGAAGAGGTGAAGCAGGAAGCGGAGGTGGAGGAGGTGGAGGAGGACCAGTGTAAACCCAACACGCATCAACGATGTTGCAATGAACCCTCCCTCCAAGGTCCCTCTTCAAACGTCCCTACAAGAACTCATCTGCATTGCGGGAAGTGCCACTTTGGAAGACAACCGTCTGAGGATTCTCAATCGTGCCAAAACGCTGTTCTCGGGACTTCAACGCCGCGAATCGACATGATTGTACCGTCCTGGCAAGCTGGAATCTTGCCAGAATGCCCTTCGTGGGACTGCAACGCTGCGAGTCAACGTGACTGCTGCATCCTGACTGTCATCAATCGTGCCAGAACACCATTCTGGGAACTTCAGCCACGCGACTCCTTGCCACTTCTTGATCTTTTCAGACGGATGTGCACGGCGCCGAAAGTGAGTGTCACATCTTGACAAGGAACCGCCCTCCATCTTGGAAGTTGCTGCAAGTTCAGGCAAATGTGCGTGGCACTCAGGCGAGAGCCATATTGTGAAAACCACCCGCCTTCCATAATGAATGCGCGTGGCGCTAAGGGGAGAGCCACATTTTGGGAAAAAACGCCCTCCATCGTTGAAACAGTTGCAAGCTTTGAAGGCGAGTGCGCGCGGCGCTAAGGCGAGGGATGCATTGTGAAAACGAGCCGCCATCCATCCGCGAAGCTCTTGCAAGTCTCAAGCCTCAGGATCATAGATAATGAGGAGCTCTGCGGCGAAACGCCCGGCCCGCCCCACGGACAAGTTTGGGGGTGCGACGGGCTGGAGTTTCTTTTTTTTAACGGGAGTAAGGATACGTACCGACACGCGTCTGGGTGCGACAGGGAGGAGCTGCTTCTAAGGAGGAGGGATCGGGGAGGACTGCGGCCACCCGGGGCATGGGGGGCTCACCGCGCCCCCCGCGGCGAGCTCGTCGTCCCCGCCGCTCGTGCGCGCTCGGGCCGCCGCCCTCCTGCGGCCCAGGCTCGACCCCGCGCTGCGCGCGGCGCTCGTGGAGGCGGCGCCCCTGCTGCAGGCCGCGGCCGCCGGCCGCCGCCCGCCGTGGCCGCCGCCGCCAGCCGCGGGGGCGCTCGCGCCCTCCTCGGGCCCCCTTTTATGTACACCAAGGCGGCAATGAAGGAGTAGGACACCGGCGAGCCCAGGGGGGGGTGCAGAGCGCGCCCGTCTGCAAGCCGGGCCTCGGGGCAAGAGAGGCGGATGAGGAGGAGGAGGAGAAAGGAGGAGGAGGAGGAGGAGGAGGAGGAGGAGGAGGAGGAGGAGGAGGAGGAGGGGGACAACGAGGAAGATGATGAGGTCGGGCACCTCGAGGAGCAGAACCCGAGGGGGGAAGGGATGCCGACACCGCCGCTCGTCCTGGGGAGGGAAGGTGTCGCTGCGGTTGGATCCCCTCCTCGGACATCTTGCCCGAGCGGGCCCCCGGAGAGGTCCGGAGAGTGCGTCGCGGCATCGCTACCTCTGCACCCCTCCCCCTGACTCTGGATCCGCCCTACTTCGGCTTTTTTCCAACTTAAAATTGCGTCGGAAATCCACCTATAAGAGGCCGAACAAGTAGGGCGGAAATTGCGGCACCCAACATAAAATAGGGCGGAAACCCACAGAAACAGCAGCAGAAAAGTAGGGCGGAAATTGGCATCAGCGGGGCCTGAAAAGTAAGGCGGAAATTCCAAGCCCCACTTACGAACTTCCCCAAAGTAGGGCGGACCTGGAGTCAGGGTACCCCCCGTACCTCGCGCCCCTCTCGGGCCCCCCGGGATCGGGCAGCTCGAGGAGCCCGCAGGGGCGATCCCTGCCTGCGCTGGCGCGGGTGCTCGCGACTCGGCTCGGTCGGCTGCGTCACGCTCCGCCGCTCCGCGGTCGGCCGCGCTCGGTCGGCCCCGGGCACGAGACCTTCCGGGAAGGGGGTACAAAGCCCCCCGGGACGGGGGGAGAGAGGGGGGGGCCTGACTCCGGATCCGCCCTACTTTGGGGAAATTCGGAAGTGGGGCTTGGAATTTCCGCCTTACTTTTCAGGCCCCGCTGATGCCCATTTCCGCCCTACTTTTCTGTTGCTGTTTCTGTGGATTTCCGCCCCATTTTATGTTGGGTGCAGAAATTTCCGCCCTACTTTTTCGGCCTCTTATAGGTAGATTTCCGACGCAATGTTAAATTGGAAAAAGCCAAAGTAGGGCGGACCCAGAGTCAGGGGGGTCCAGGTCGTCGGCGGCACCCGGTGCGCCCGGTACGAGACCCCGGGGAAGGGGGGAGGGGTGCGTGCCGCGGGGCACCGCCGACATACACAGACATATCGTTTACCTGTCAGCGGAGATCTCAGCACGCCTCTGGCCCCTTGGGCCAGCGAATTGTCGCCTTGGCTTTTGCACGCGGCTGCCGCCAGTTTTTTGCAACACTTACTTAGCGTCTGGGGCGTTAGCTGTCCGATTTTGGGGTCCCACGCATCGTGTTTTCTGTTTTTTTTGGTCGCCGCCGTGGAGATCCTTGTGAATACTTCCTAGAGTTTCGACCTGGTGATGTCTTTCTCGTGACGGGGGAGGTGGTCTGCATGGTCGTTGAATCTGAGGATGGTAATTCCGCTGCGGGTCTGCGCGTTCTCCCTCGGAGTGGCCGCTGCTCGAAGATTGTTGTTTCACCGTCTGCCGCGTGGCACTCGTTGCCCAGCCCCCCCTCCCCCCCCGGATGGCGGCGACGGAAGGAGGGGGGGGGAGCTGGACCCGCCCCCCGACATGCCGATGCTCGCGCGCATGCACCTGCGATCGCAGCGCACCCCCGCCCCGACGTGCCCCACCCCGCCCAGGCGCCAGCTGTGCCCGAGGCCCCCCCCCCCTTCCCCCCTCTGGATAACGACCGTTGTTGTGCCCGGAGCTCCTGACCCTGCCAGACGGCTGGCTGGCGCTCGGCCGTCCTCGCCAGCGCGAGCCAGGGCCGAGAGAGGGTGAGCACGAGCTGCGCCCGATGCGACCGCGGTGGGCTCGCGCCAGCCACCCAGGGTTGCCCATCCGGCTCTCCCCGAGGCCTCCCGACCAAGACCTCGCCGGACCGAGGCGCGGCCTGGACTTCGAGCCTTTTCTTCTTCTTCTTTTTATTATTACTATTATTCTTCTTCTCCTCCTCCTCCTCCTCCTCCTCCTCCTCCATTTCCTCGGGCTGAAAAATGGCTTGGCGTCGTCCCTAGCCTTGCGCCGCCTCGTGGTCATCAATCTCGCATCTGGTCCGATGTTTTTTTCGGCTGCCGCTGTGTCTGTCGTTCCCCCCCCATCCTATTCTCCCCCCTCCTCCTCCTCCTCCTCCTCCTCCTCCTCCTCCTCCTCCTCCTCCTCCTCCTCCTCCTCCTCCTCCTCCTCCTCCTCCTCCTCGCCACTCCTCCACCTCCTCCTTGCCCTCCACCCTGTCCCGCTGGACAGGGCATCTCCTGCGAGCGCATCCTCAAGGAGCTGAAGCTCATACTGCAGAGCCCAGGCGCACCGGACGTGGTGCGGACCATGATCGAGGAGCCGCCGAGAGCCGCGAGCGCCACGGCGCGGCCGCTGCTGTTGAGCAAGAGATTCCCTCGCAGCGGGTTCCCCCCTAGAGATCTCCCCGACTGAACCAGGAGGCTGGAAGTACGACGCGTGCTTCCTGAAGCGCAACCAGCTCCTGAAAGACGACATCCACGTCTTGGGTGCCTCGGGAGGGCCTCTTGGGGCCGGTTGGGGTCCTCTTGGGGGCCTCCTGGGGGCCTCCTCGGGGCCTCTTGGGGCCTGCTGGGCGCCTCTTGGGGCCATCTTGGAGGACATCGATCAAAGAAGGGGTGGTCCCTTCATTAACCTCGCCTCCCCAAGAGGCCCAAGTGGGATCAAAACATAGAAAACCAATGTTTCCTCGCCAAGGCCGTTCTTGGACGCTCCGACGCCTCGCGGCCCCCCCGTCCAAGTCCAGGGGAAGGGGCAGGGGGAGGGATCAAGACACCCTCCCCGCCCGCAAGCCGTCTCCCTCACTCCCACCCGCCCTGCCAACACATACGTAGCACCCGAGTCTGGCCCGAGCCTCAGCATATTCAGCAGTCGTCTTTGGATGGGCAGCTACCGGGGGCCAATCCGCCGCCGCCGCCGCCGCCGCCGCCGCCGCCTCCGCCGCCGCCGCCGCGCCGCCCGCCGCCGCCGCCGCCGCCGCCGCTGACCCCGCTGCAAATCGCCGCAGCGCGCGCTGCCCTGCCGCCGCACCGCCGCCCGCCTCCGCCGCCGCCGCCGCAGCCGCCGCCGCCGCCGCCACCGCCGCTGCCGCCGCCACCGCCGCCGCCGCAGCCGTCGCCGCCGCCGCAGCCGCTGCAGCCGCCGCCGCCGCCGCCAAGTGTACTCTGCATTGTTTTTGACAGGGATGGTGGGGGGAGGCCGCATCGGGTTGGCTGCGCATGCTCCGAATTTGGAAGCAGAGTGTGTGTTGCTATAGTTTTGTACAAGGGATGGTGGAGGGGGGGCCCTCAGGTTCCTGGTTGGCTACCAGTCGCCTGGGGGAGGGGGTGTTTACTAATAGGGAACAGTGATAAACCCTTCCCCGAAGGGGAATACAGGAGGTTGGAAAAGGAGCCGCCCTAAACCACCTACGCCCAGAGGGCTGGTGGGATTTTTATTCCTAAATAATGATTGTCGTTGAAGTGCGCCTCCTGGGGTTCGTACCCTGTTTTTTACTAGGGGAACATATCGGGCTTCAAATTGTCAGGCAGTTCGAAACCCAAACAGGCGACAACCTCAAAACCCGTCAAGCCTCAGGGACATCAGTTGTGTTGACCTCTTCGGGCTCTCCTTGGAGGGCCTCTTGGAGCGTTCTTGGGCCGTCATGGGGGCCTCTCGGGCCGTCTTGAGGCCGTTGTCAGAGCCTCAACCGCCGTCTTGCGCCATCTAGAGCAGTTTGGGTGTCGTCTTGGCTGTTTGAGAAGCCATCCTGGAGGCCATATTGGCCCTTTGGAGGCCGAAGCAAACATTGGATATCAGTTTCTGAGGAAGCGAATTTCTAAGCACGCGCGGGGCCCAGTGGGGGGCTAGAACACACTTGAAAACCCTCCAAGACAACAGACGAGCATTCAAACACGCCCATTCCGTGCATGCACGGAGGCGGATTCAGACGCCGCGCCCTCGACACCCAGGAATCACGCTCTCGCTGTGGTCTTCCTCACGATATACTTGGGGATCGCGCTGTCGCTCGAGACTTCCTCGCGATCCAGGCAGGACTGACGTTTCAGCGACCCGCCCGCTCGACCTGGCCGTCCGCCCGCCCGACCCGCCCCGTTAGGATCCACCCGCCCGACCGGCCCGTCTAGTTGTGCCACGTGTTATTTTGCTCCCAACCCCCCTCGTGTTATCTCTCTCGTGCTTCATCTTTCTTCCTCCCCTTCCCTTCTCCCTCATTACCCCTGTTTCAGGGGCTGCGCTCACTACACGTGGCAAGTCAGGAAGATATAGCCTCAAGGGGGGCACGGTCGAATACGAAGAGAGCAGTTTTCGAGGGTTCGGGATAGACATGCTGAGCGAAGCGCGAGCAGATAAGAACGAACAGTCTCAAAGTGATCGTTTCCCTTGTGCCTGCCCTTGTTGCTCTTGCTGCTGTTCTCGCCCCGGTTCTTGTCGTCGTCGGCGCGCGTGGGTCGCGGTGGTCGGGGGCGGAAAAGAGGGGGGTGATGACTGGGGCGGGATGGATATCATGGCGGGGGCCATGATATTTCCCCAGATCTCATGGCGCCTCTTCTTCTTCCATTACGTCCCTGGCCCCTCCGCTGGGCCGCGCACATGCCGCCGGTCATGATTTGCGCCCCCCCCCCCCCCTCTTGGACGCCCCCCTCTTGGCCGCTCCCGAGGTGGGGGTGGGCGGGCTGCGGGTGGGTCGCGGGTGGGTCGCGACCCACCCGCGAGCCGACCACCCGCTCCACGCTCCTATCCGCACCTGCGGGGAGCTGGGCATCCGCGGTCCCCTTTTCGGGGGGCGCACCCTGCGCCCAGGAGCGGTGCCTGTGCCTCCCTGGCCCGGCTTTACGTCGGGCCTGTCCCCCTTCAGGGGGATGTTCGACGAAAAATGCAAAAATACCCCCCCAAAATAATTCAAAAATGCTCCCAACATAGTCTGGGGATTATGTTTTGAATATTGTTTGACCGTTTGGGGGGTATTTTGGGGGGTATATTAATTTTTTCGTCGAAAATCCCCCCTGTAGGGAGACACGCCCGACATAAGCCAGGCTCCTGGGCCCAAGGCGGGGTGAGGGCCGCTGCCGGCCGCCCTCGCGCTGCCGTGGCGGCGGGCACGCGCCGCGCCACAGCGCAGCGCGGAGGAGGAGGAGGGGGAGGAGGAGAGAGGAGGAGGAGAGGAGAGAGGAGAGGAGGGAGGAGGGAGGAGGAGGGGAGGAGGAGAGGAGGGGGAGGAGGAGGAGGAGGAGGGAGGAGGAGAGGAGGAGGAGGAGGAGGAGGAGGAGGGAGGGGGGGGGGAGGAGGAGGAGAGGAGGAGGAGGAGGAGGAGGAGGAGGAGGAGGAGGAGGCTGGGCAGGAGGGTATATGCACAGCTCCTGAGCCCAGGCTGGGCCTGCCCAGGGGCAGTGGATCAGTGGACAGCTCTCGTCGCCCTGAGTCACGGGGGGGGGGGGGGGGGCGAGCGCCAGGCGCGGCGGCGGTGTGCAGCTTGCCGCTGCCGCGCACGAAGTTTGTGCGGCACGCCTTTGCCGGCTCACAGCGGCAGAGGGAAGCCATTGATGGACGCTCCCCCTCCCCGCATGCAAGCTCAAGCTTGGCAGTCGCGGGGGAGACCGCGGTCGAAGGGCAGCTCGTCAGACCCGCCGCCAACGTTGATCATGGGGGGAGGGAGGCATTGACAGATGAATGTAAGTTGAGTGTTCGCTGACTGTTTTTCCGCGGCCTGCGCGTGTCCCGAGGCCTCCCGCGCGTCCTGGAGCCCCCCTGGCGCGGCGCCCCCCGAGGACGGCTCGCTGCAGGCGGCCCTCCCGCTGCCAGCGCCCCTTGCCGCCGAGGGGCGCGAGTTGCGGGCGCTGGGGGGCCTCTGGCGCGACGAGGACCGCGCCGCCGCGCTGGTTGCCGGCACTCGTCGTCGTCGTCGTCGTCGTCGTCGTCGTCGTCGTCGTCGTCGTCGTCGTCGTCGTTTTGTAAGTACTCGTCGCTCGTCGTTGTCGCCGCCACCGCGGCTGTTCGTCGTCGTCGTCGCCATCGCCGCCGCCGAAGCCGCTCGTCGTCGCCGCTTCCGCCGTCGTCCGTCGTCGTCCGTCGTCTTCGCTGCACCCGCCGTCGTCGTCGTCGTTTGCCGCCGCCGATGGCGCTGCCTGCCGTCCTCGTGGTCGTCACAGGCGTCGTCGTCGTCGTCGTCGTCGTCGTCGTCGTCGTCGTCGTCGTCGTCGTCGTAGTCTTAAGTTGGGCCTGTCCCTTTACAGGGGGGATATTCAAAAATAGTCAACAAATAGTCTGGGGACTATTCTTTGACAATTTTTGAGCATTTTTAATATATCTTTGGGTACTTTTAATTTTTCGTCCAAAATCGGCCTGTAGGGGGACAGGCCCGACCTGACCGTAGTCGTGGTTCGTCATCGTTCATCGTAGTCGCCGTTTTTGCTGTCGTCGTTTTTCGGTGTCTTCGTCCAGAACATTGGAGATGGAGGTTTTCGCCCCCTTCATTCTGGAGGCTAGGGCCACCGATCTGGACGTCGGAACCTTCACCGTGGAATGGGGCGTTTCTTCCTCCAGCCTAGAGGCCAGGACCTCCATTTAAGAGGCTTTGGCCCAGGATGCAGAGAGGGGGAAGGTCAAGGTAGGTGCGCAAGCGTCAAATCTCAGATCTGACGTCCTACCCCTCCCTCCCATCCCTTAGCATTGCGTAGATCTCCCCTCTGTTCGCACAGTCGGATAGCGAACAGGGCAATGATCCCGAGAGAGTTCGCGACGCATGGTACAGCACGGCATAGCATAGCATAGAAGAGCACGGCCGACGTCGTCGCGTCGAGAACGCGACTCATGTCGACAACCAGGTCAGAGGGGAACCAGAAATGACACAGGACGGGAAATGCAAGTGGACGGTGTGGAAAGCGGGAAACGCAAAATGCAGCGTTGTTGTGGGCGCACGACTTGGAAGGATTGGAAGCGCAGAACTCAAGCCAACGCTACAGCAGAAACACAATTTGGAAGAACTGAAACACTGAAATGAAGTCAGCGCTGCAGCGGGTACATGATTTGGAAGGGCCGAGAATGGGAAAATTAAGCCAACGCGGTAGCGGGAGCGCCATTCCGAAAGGGCTGAAAACATTTGGATGGTACACACATATTGGTGTTCATTTCGGCGGCATCCTGCTTTGTGTTTCGTTTTTTTTATAGAAAACAATACGCGGAGGAGGCAAGGACACCTCACCAGCGTTTTCGGGGGAGAGAGGAGAGTCGTATTCATGGCGTGTAACTGTAGAAGGAGAGGAGGAGGTGGTGGTGGTGGAGGTGGTGGTGGAGGAGGAGGAGGAGGAAAGGGAGAAGGAGGAGAGTAGAGGATGAGGAGCAGGAGGAGGGAGAATGAAGGAGAGGAAGAGAAGGAGGAGGAGGAGGAGGAGGGGAAGAGGAAACGGAGGAGGAGGAGGAGGAGTAAACGGAGGAGGAGGAGGAGGAGGAGGAGGAGGAGGAGGAGGAGGAGGGGGAGGAGGAGGAGGAGGAGGGGGAGGGGGAGGAGGAGGAGGAGGAGGGGGAGGGGGAGGAGGAGGGGGAGGAGGGAGCGGGGGGAGGAGCTGCAGGGCAGGTGAGAGGAGCCGCTGTACGTCTCCCGCAGGGGCACAGGGGCTTCCACCCACGACCACCACCACCATAAGTTGGAGGGGGGGGGGGGTCCTCCTCCTTCCTCCTCCCTCCTCCTCCTCCTCCTCCTCCTCCTCGTCCTCCTCGTCCTCCTCCTCATCCTTCCCCCAGCTCTTCGCCCCATTTTGGAGCCCCTGGGGCCCCCCGAGCCTCGCGAGGGGTGCTGTGCTGGAGGCCGCCTGGGCCGCCCCTGGCATCCTGAGGACACCTCGGGCTGTCGAGGACGATCAATGGAGAGGAAGCGTGCTGCCAAATCATTTCCAGATGTCTAGAACATATGGAAAAACTGTTTTTTGGAACGTAGAGAAAACGCATGTGTCAAACATTTTCAGGACATCGTTCCGACATTTTAAAGACACACTTGTAGTTCTACGATGGGACTCTTAGGGTGTCCCTTGCCGTGGCATCCTGAGGACACCTCGGGCCAGATCTGCTCCGTGCGCTCGGATTCGGTCGAATCTGCCGCGGCTGGCGTGCCGGCGGCGCTTCCAGCTGGCGAGGGGTGGCGGCTGGGCTCGGCGGCGTGCGCCAGGGGTTTCGAGCAGTGGCGAGGCGTCCTGGCTCGCCTGTAGCCCCACCAATCAATGTTCTAAGAACCTTTTGTGGTTTGCACGAAATGGTCTTAGAACATTTCTGATTGAGACTGTCTTGGTTTAACACATCGGGTTAATGTTCTAAGAACATTGGTTTTGCTCTTAGAACATTTTTTGGATTCTAAAAACACTTCGTGGCAGGACTATAGGAGTGCTGGGACGGTCGGTCCCTGCTCAAGGGTTGGCGTGAGGGGCTTGGCCTGCGAAGAAGACAGGGCGCCTTTTGGGAGCACCTCCGCCTTCTGAAGGCTTCATACAAGCCTCTGGACCCTTCTGAGAAGCCCTCTGCCTTTTGATCGGACGACGCCAGCTGCAGACCACGCCGATGCTGGCCAGGCCAATATTGGGCCCAGTATCGGAAGGCGTTCACAGTGATCCTGGGCCCAAGATGGGCCTGACCAGGAACGGCGTGGCGTATGATTAGCGCCCCCCCTATCTCACAAAGCCATCTCTTTTGTGTGTGTGTGTCGTCGCCGTCGCCGCTGGCGTCGTCGTCACCGCCGCTGCCGTCGCCGCCAGCGTCGTCGTCGTCGTCGTCGTTGTCGTTGCTGTCTCCGTCGCAGTCGCCGCTGCCGCTGCCGCCGCCGCCGCCGCCGCGGCCGCGGCCGCCGCCGCCGCCGCCGCCGCCGCCGCCGTCGTCGTCGTCGTCGTCGTCGTCGTCGTCGTCGTCGTCGTCGTCGTCGTCGTCGTCGTCGTCGCCGCCGCCGTGCCCGCCGCCCGCAGGCCACGCTCCGCACCCTGCGGCGGCTGCGGCCGGGCACGCTGCCCGCGGCCCGCCTGGCCGACCCGCTGGCCGAGGCGGGGTGGGCGCCGCGTCCGCCGGCCCGGCCGGCCGGCCGCTGCGGCAGCCGCGCCGCGCGCGCCCGCTCGATGTACCCACGTCAAGCAGTGGCGAGGCGTCCTGGCTCGCCTATAGCCCTACCAAGCAATGTTCCAAGAAGCTTTCGTGGTCTCCGCGAGATGTTCTTGGAACATTTCTGGGTTCTGTCGGGTTTAACACATCGGGTTGAGAAGTTGGGGTCTGGGCACACCCAAAACCCTGAGGATCAAGGCTCAGCATGACAGTGGCGGATATAGGTGTGACGAAAACCGAGATCTCCGACGACACGATGTTTCAATCCTGGCGGTTTTCCTAGATTTCCGGCTTGGCCCGTTAGCGGGCCCCTGGACCATCAAATACGGATCTTGGACGACAAATTGGGGCGATTTTGTGGACACACGTGGAGCGAGGAGGAGAGAGGGAGGGCGAGAGGGAGGGAGGGAGGGAGGAAAGATGATCCCTCCCTCCCTCTCTCCCTTCTTCCCTCTCTCTCATCCTCCCCCCTGGTTCTCCTGCACTGGCCGATGACCCCCAGTCGGCGGCGAAATCCGACACAGGCTTTGCAACGCTCCTGCCCTCCCGAGAGACTGCGCCACGGCCCCGAGACGGGGCCAGGCCCCACCACCCGCAGCCGCTTCGTCCCCAGACCTCCGGTGCTTCTGATTTGTTCCTAGGCGGGCTCCCAGGAGCTATGAACAGCTTCCTGGCGACCAAGCGTTTGCCCCAGATCGTCATTTGATGGTCCTGGGGCTTCGCGAGGGCTATGAAACATCTTTCATCTCCGTTTCGGTTATCTCAACACGTTCCCTGTCTCCAGATCCGCCCTATTGTGGGTGATTTTGCAAGCAGGGCGAACGCGTCCGCCCAACTTTTCAAGCTCCTTTGATGTCGATCTCCACCTCTCCTTCTCCGTCGCTGGATATTCGCCCTTTTTTGTGGAAAGCGTTGTAGGAATTTCAACAAAGCCGCGAGATGTTCCACAACGTTTTGGAATGTTCCACAAAGTTGGGACATGTTCCGCAAAAGCAGGGCGGACAAGGCCGCTCTACCCTCCTGAGGCGGAAGTGGCCGCCCGACCCGTCCGCATCCTGCACAGGATGCGCCTCCGACGCAAGTGAAAGTCGGAGAATCAGCCCAGGCCCAGGTGAGGCTAGGGGGCCACCTGCGAACCCTGCCCCTGCCCCCCACGACTTCCGAGGGGCAGGGTGGGGCTCGCTCCTCGTTCGGGAGCTCCCGAGCGAAATGAACCCTCCCCCTCCCCCTCCGAAACCGTGGGGGGCAGGGGGCAGGGTCCGCATCTGGCCCCCTGGGCGGGGCGGAGGGGGAGGAGGGAGGAGGAGGAGGAGGAGGAGGAGGAGGAGGAGGAGGAGGAGGAGGAGGAGGAGCGAGGATGGGGTAGGGTCCGCATCTGGCCCCCTAGCCTCGTGAGGAGAGGGCGCGGCCTCTCCTCGGGGGCCTCGGGAGCCGTCCGCCGCCTCGGCGCCGGCGCGCCGCGCGCCCGGGGGGGAGCCTTTTCGGGCACGGGCGCGGGGGGCCGGCCGGCCGGCCGGGGCCGGAGGCGGCACTCAGGGAGGAGGGTGTCCTCATCCTCTTCCCTGTCCTCCTCCTCCTCCTCCTCCTCCTCCTCCTCCTCCTCCTCCTCCTCCTCCTCTTTTGGCTCAAGATGAAGATGCCTGCGGCGTCCTTCATGGATACCGCTAGTCCGCGGCCAGTCCCCAAGCTTTTGCCGCCACAACCACGGGCTTGCGGCAGCCCACAGCTCATCCTGCTTCTCACTTTGGCATTGCAGGCTGCCATCCATATCAGCTCGTCCGAGCCCTTCATATCGCCCGTCGAGCCCAGCTCCGAGCACTTCATATCGCCCGTCGAGCCCAGCTCCGAGCACGACATATCCGCCGTCGAGCCAAGCTCCGTGCTCTACGCATCCGCCGTCGAGCCTAGCTCCGTGCATTTCATTCCCGTCGTGAACGTTGCCCGCACCGAGACCAGCCTGCAGCTTCTCCGCCAACCACGTATTGGCACCGCAGCCGCCCTGGACATTGGACAGCAGTACAGCAGCCGCTTACTGGACTTGCCCTACCTACCGCAACAATGTCGTCAAGCAGTGAAGAGAGATCTACGTCTCGCAGCGCACCGTCGCGCAGAAGGAAAGAACGCCGCCGTGGACGCCAAGACAAAGATCGAGATGATAAAGATTCCCGTGCCTCCGCCACCAGGGCCACACTCGACGCCATGGGAGAAGCTGGCGTCGCCTCGCAACTCGTACGTGCTTCAGGGAGAGCATCGGCGCCGCCTTCACGTCCTGGTCGCTCGTCAGCGCGCCCGTCTACTCCGCCAACGTTTGCGATGGATGCCGACGACCTTCTGCACCACGGTGATGTCGCTCGCCACGCAGCGGCTGCCCCCGAGCAAGCACGCGATGGACAAGGGAATGCTCCGCCTTCCCAACTACTTGCAGTCGAGGCAGCTCCAGCAGCAGGAGGACACCTACATGCAGACCCACTGGCAGGAGCTCGTGACCCTTGGCGTGGCCAACGAACCGCTGGACGAACGTCCGCCGTCGGAGCCGCCGCCGACCTTCATGGCGGGGACATACCAGCCTCCATCGAAGCCGCTGGAGGTACAGCCACGCATGGATCGTTCCCAAGCATCCCAGGCCTGCCTCCTGATGTCGAAGCTGCTCTTCAACAAGTCATGCAGACTCAAGTCGAACACGCCGCCGCCACCTTCCAAGCCCAGGCCAACGCTCTACTCAATGAATCACGTGAAAGCTTTCGTCAAATCCTCGCACAACAAGTCATTGCTACCGAACGCCGAGTGGATACCCTACATGATGCAGTCGCCCGCACTCGCCAAGAACAGGACCGCCAAGCCGACGAGCAGAAGAAGATGTGGCAGCAGATCGATCAGATGCGTGACACGCTCGCGCTCGCTGAAGCTCAGGCGCCCGTCACGGACCTCACCAAGCTCGCTGACTGGGACCGCGCCCCCGACCCGGCCATCTTCTCCATCGGCTGCCAGCGCCTCATCGCGCCCGACATACTGCTCAACGACCTGCAGGAGTGGATCGCCTCCGCCAACGTGGACCGCAACGCCGTGGAGTTGCTGGGCGACGAGCCGCCCAGACGCTTCCTCCTTCAAGTCAAAGGAGATCGTGCAGCCGCAATCCCGCGAGCTCTCGCTCTTTCACGCGCCCTTCGAGATCCTGCTGGCAGGTGGAAGCGCTTTGTGTCCACCGACACGACAGGGGCCCGAGTGGATATCTATCTCAATCCCGACACGTCTCCCAAGCAGATCCGCACCGAGATCCAGTGCAAGAAGCTCCTGCAACTGCTCCAGCACCACTACCCTGACAAGCCATGGAGAGCCATTCGCACCAAGGGCGAGATCCATTGCAACGCCATGCCCGTTGTCCGCCTCGACGTCAAGGGCCAGGCCGACCCCGCCATCCTCGAGTGGAACGAGCACGCGTTCGAAGGCCACCACTTCAACGAAGTGGATCGCGGCGGCGTCCTCACCGCGTTCCAGGCGCTCTTCGCGGACACTGCGTCAGCAACGTGGCGGGTTTAGCCACCCCTGGTCGCCGTGGCGACCGACCGAGGACCCCGCCCCCAGCACCTTCATCACGTGGAATGCCAGAGCCCTCATGTGCCACAAGCGCCGGCGCCGCCGCCGCAAACAGGCTGCCCTGATGAAGTACATGCGCCGCCACTGCGTCATCCTCCTCCAGGAGGTTCATGGCTCTGAGGCCCTGCTCCGCACGTGGGTGGACACGCAGCCTTACCCGTGCAAGCTCTTTTTCTCCGAGTTCGTCGGCGGCGATGACGTCGAGGCCCGACCTGGCACTGGCGGAGTTGCTACGTTGGTGCCCTGGCTCACGCCCATGCAGCTCGAGCAGCTTGCTCCGCACCAACTGCCTACCTTCGTCCACGAGGAGGTCGTCAAGGGCCGCATCCAGACCGTCTCCGTCGCCAATGCCGTCACGAACACCTCCATCGTCATCATGAATGTCCATAACCATGAGATCGACGCTCGCGGCCGCGACCGAGCGCAACGTGCTTGGCATCAGCATCGCACCTGGGCCGAGGCCGACTACCAGCACCGCACTTTCACCGCCATGGGGGACTTCAACACTGCCAGCCGCCCGCCGAACAGCTTCCTGCAGCCCCAGCCTCAGCACGCGCGCCTTGCGCTGGACAACAGCGCCCGTCAGCAGCAGCCTGTCTGGAAAGCACTCTTCGATTCCATGCTCGAAATCGAATCCGACTTACCGACCCGCTTCAACAAGGCCGACTTCTCCGCCTCAGCGATCGACCGCGTTTTCATCAGCTTGCCGTCCCATGCCATGCTCGAGCTCACGTCGCAGATCAACATTGTACACGATCCTGGCATCCTGTCAGACTCCTTCCTCAGCGACCATGCGATCATCTCCTACACCATCGGCATCAAGCCGCGCACGCCGACGAACGACCAGGCGATCCCCCCTGCGATCTTCCGCGACCCGAACTACGCCAAGTACCTGGACCAACTGATCACCCACACCAAGACTCAGCACGTTCCCATCCAGAACCGCTGGCGCTCGCACAAGCGCCTCATGGTCGAGGCCGCGAGGCTCGTCCGCGACGACTGGGTCAGCTCCACCGGGAACGGCAACAAATCCAACCATGCCGACGGACGGGTCCTCACGGCGCGTTCGATCTCACGCGCGGTCTGGCGCCAGGATGTGGCTCTCGCTCGTCGCCTTCAGTCCACCACCGAGCTTGGCGCCAAGTACCTCTCGATTGCCGACGGCCCCATCGCGATCATCAGCCAGCCCGAGTTCGCTGACATGTCAGCCTCGCTCCACCGCGACTTCGAGGCTCGGCAACGTTCTCTGGCGCAAAGAGCTGCCCAGCACCCCCCTGGCGCGGCAGGGGCCCTCGAACCCGAGAAACTCCGTCGAATCTTGCGCGCCTCGCAGAGGCGGGCTCTCCTTTGGGCCCCCTGGAAGCGTCGTCTGGTCCTCCAGGGCATCAAAATCTCGGGCCCAGATGGCCCCCTTGGGGTCGCCAGAGAGAGCTGCGACATGGCGGACGCCCTTCGCACCTACTGGAAGCCCGTCTTCGCGCACAAGCTCGTCGATTTCGTCAAGGTCAAGCAGTGCATCTCCGAGCACATGCCGCTGGGCGCCACCATCGACGTGGGCGCGCCGACCAAGAGACAGATCCGCGCCTTCCTGGCTCGCACCTCTCCGTCGGCGCCTGGACCTGACTGCCTCCCATATCGCGCTTGGCTCGCACACGACTCGTCGCTGGACCTGCTCGAGGACCTCTCGTTCCACCTCTGCTCGAACGCTAACTTCATCCACGACCTGAACGACTCTGACTTCGCCTTCCTGCCGAAAGGGGACAACCTCGTCGGCGAGTTGCAGACCGACAGGGCGCCTGAGGACACGCGCCCGCTCTCGTTCAAGAACACTGATATCAAGGCCATCGCTGGTGCCGCCAACTTTCTCCTCAAACCCGCTGTGGCAGAGCGGGCCCACATGGCGCAACAGGGTTTCGTAGTCGGCCGCAACTTCACCAAGCACATTGTCATTCTTGACGCCGAAATGCGCCGCGCTGGGATACGTCCCGATGCTGCTGATGACCACCCTGTCTTCGCCAGCTTCGACTTCGCGGCGGCGTTCCCGTCTTTGGGTCGGGACTGGCTCTTCGCGGCACTCGAGCGCTTCGGGGTACCCATCGGCCTCATGAGCCTCTTCCGCAACCTGTACCACGCGCCGAACAGCTTCCTCAAGGTCGACGGGATCCGCCACTTCACGTTCGCCATCGAGCCGGGCGTCGCGCAGGGCTGCCCCGCCAGTGGCTCGGCATGGGCCATCGCGATGGACCCGCTCGTCCGCCACGTCGCCTCCTTCATCGAGCATCCCGACGGCACGCCCGACTACGACAAAGGCTACCTCGGCGTTTGCGCGGACGACACTGGCCTGCTCACATTCTCGTTCGACACGCTGCGCAAGGCATCTGAGCCTTTTTCTGCCGCAGAGGAGCTCGCGCTTCTCTCCCTCAAACAACGCAAGTGTGTAGTCGTGCCCCTGTGGGCGCCTGTCTCTTCTGCCACCACAGCCCAAACGAAAGAGCTCCTGGCTGACCTTTGCCCTTCCTGGGGTTGCTTCACGATTTCGGGGCGAGCCAAGTACCTCGGGACCTTTCTTGGACCTTCCTCCTCCCTTGCCCTTCAATGGCTCGCCCCAGGGCAAAAGTGGTGGCAACGCAGTAATTTGCTCAATCTCGTCCAGTCTGGCAGTGATGCCACCGTTCGCTTATATAACACTTCCGTCCTGTCCACGCTCAGCTACGTTGCTCAGTTCTTCCCGCTCGATTCTAAGATTGCTCGCCGTGAATTGTATGTCTTCCACAAAATGCTCAGCATGCCGCCCAACTCTTTTCGGGGGGTAGATCTCATCTCGATGGCGGAGTGGAGCCCGCCACCTGTCCTTCGTTCAGCTCAAGTCGCATCTGTCGCCGCAGCCATCCGTACAGCCACTTTCACACTCCGTGGAGAATGGGAACCGTTCTTCCACCGTCTGCGAGACACCGCCTGGGAGGAGAGCACGATCCATTCCTTCCCTCGGTGGGAAGCAGGGCGCTGGCCCCCCCCCCCCCCTTCTGGGAAGAGACCTCGTCCATCGTGCAGTTCTACCATGCCCTGTCTTGCGGGCAGCTTGTCTCGCCATTTTCTGCAGCAGCCGTGGCCCTGGCGAACCGCGCTGCACGAGCCGAAATTCGTGAGGCATCTGCTGCTGACCCGCCGCGTCGCCCGAAGGTGCAGAGGGCGGTCGCGCTCGCTCTGCAGCGTGCCTTTTTCTCTTCGCCGTTCATAGTCACTCTCACGAAGCGCCTTGCAGCTTGGGGCCTTCAGCTGACGCCGCCGCCCCCGGAGCTCGCCTCCCGCTGGTCAGCTCTTACAAAAGCGCTCGGAGAGGTCCGTCCCAGCTGGCGTTGGGCGGTTTTCAAAACGCTCAGTGGCGGGTGGACCACCACCCACCGCATGCATGTGCTAGCCCAGCGTTCGTGCGTGTTCGGGTGCCCGAACGCACCCGATTCATTTCCCCACTACTTCTCCTGCTCCGTCGTCCTGAGCCCCCTGTGGCCCCCCGACCCCGCTCCTCTCCTCAGCACATATGCGACCTGGGGCTTGGGCCCCGCAGCAGCGTACCCTTCCGAACCTGCCAGCGACCTCTCGTTGCGGCAGACGATTCGCAGGATCGCTCTGGCCTTCCACCTGTACAACAAAATGAAGCAACACGCAGCGCCGTCGCCAGCAAATATTGCTGCAGCGATGGCCGCAGCGAAATCTCTCCTGTGGCGTTGAGCCGCTGTCCGCCGTCTCACGCTTTGCCTCACTATCTAGGCAGGCTTGTGCGTGGGCTGGGCGCTGGGCTGACAGACGTGGCCGCCTCAAGGTACGTTCACTCCTCCTCCTCTTTCCTCCTCCTCCTCCTCCTCCTCTTTCCTCTTCCTCCTCCTCTTTCCTCCTCCTCCTCCTCCTCCTCTTTCCTCCTCCTCCTGCTTCTTCCTCTCCTCCTTCTTCCCCCAAAAACTATGTCCATCCCTCCTTAGACCCTCTCCCTTCGCCCCTTGTATGCATGATGTGCCAAAGATCATCAGCTGGAAGTCTCGCGTGGCGTCAGTGGCGCCCACGCCCATGCTATTGTGGATTCGGGAAGTCTTAGCCAAGGTTACACGGCTCTAGTGGGACCCCCCTCGAAAGCAGGCAAGGAGGTCTTCTCACGTGTGTCTCGGGGGCTGCCCCCCCAAAGCAGGAGAAGGTTCCTACATGTGGATCGCGAAGCGTGCCCAGGCTTGACCTCCTCTCCACGGGCTGTTGCTATCTTATAGTATTGATCTCCCCCTGTCCTGATCCTCTCCATCCTTACTCTCCATCTCATCTACCCTTCATCGTCGACGTAATTCTGCGAGACCCCCTCACGGGAGGAAGAACGCCCCGACCCCCTTACGCTGGGTTTTTTCTGAGCAGCCTCGTGCGTTTACCAAACATCCTTGCCCTGTTTGATTCCTTCCCTGGGCTCGTTCTTCCTACTCGGCTTCGGTTGTGTACAGGGTGCTTGCTGTGAGGGTGGTCCTTCTGACCTCTACTATGGCATACCACCACCGGTGCGCCTTGTCCCGCTGGCCCTGGCCTCCCGCCTGCGCGTTCGTCAGGGGCAACGTGAGGAGGGGAATAGGCTTAGAAGGGGATGCATCGATCCCTACACCCTACACGCCCACTCGTTTTCGATAGGGCCCGATTGCCCACCCCGCCCAGGAACGTGCGGACTCGTCATCAGGTGCCCACCGCCGACCTATCGGCGATGCGTCGCCGAGGCCAGGTCGAGGCTTCCCCTGGAGCCAGACCCCCTGCCGTTGCCCCTCGCCGCCGGGCGGCCCTCGCCGCCACGGCTGGGACGTGCCGTGGCACCGCCAGAGAACGCAGCGCTGGGGCGAAAACGAGCGCCAGCTGGCGCCCGCCCGCGCCCGTGCGGCTTCTTCCCGTGCGGTTCGTGCGCCCGGCGCCGACCGCGCGGTCGTTGATTTTTTGGGGCCGCTGAAGCCCCCCCCACTTTGGGGCGTCGCTACGTCATGCTATGTAAGGCTACGCGTTGATCTTCAACACCATGCTGTGCCATGAAGTGCTATGCCCTGCTACGACATCCGACTGCGCGAATGGAGATGAGAACTACGCCATGGTAAGGGATGGGAGGGAGGGTGTAGGACGTCAGATATGACGCGAGCGCACCCAGCTTGTCCTCTTCCCCCTTCGCCTTCCCCCCGCTGCCCCCCGCCACCTCCGCAGGGGGCGTCGCCGACGCCCCCCGCGCGGGAGCAGCCGTTCGCCTTCTACGCTGTGCTGGACCTCGAGGCCCCTACGCGGCCTCTGAGGTCTGCGGGCCTGGCTGCTGGATGAACGCCAAGCCAAGCTTTCCCGAATAACCTGCATTTTTTTTCACGCCCGGCCTTTTCCGACCAGTTTCGGGCCCAGGTCCATCACAGATCGATCCCGCTCGAAAATGCTGCAGCAGAACGATGGAGTCTGGAGCTCCGGTCGCGTTTTTTTGTTGCCATGTTGCATCTGTGTGGCAATGACGGACCTCAGGGAAGGTGCCCCCAGCTCCTCGCCCCGTTTTGGGGGCCCTTGAGCCCCCTGGGCCGCGCGACGGGGGGGCCCAGGCGGCCACCTGGGCCCTCCGGGGGAGGAGGAGGAGGAGGAGGCGGAGGAGGAGGAGGAGGAGGAGGAGGAGGAGGAGGAGGGAGGGAGGGAGGGAGGGAGGGAGCAGGAGGAGGAGGAGGAGAAAGAGGCTCGATGATGATGCTGATGATGATGATGATGATGATGATGATGATGATGATGATTATGATGATGATGATGATGGTGATTGTGATGATGATGATGATGATGATGCTTATGATGATGATGATGATGATGATGATGATGATGATGATGATGATGATGATGATGATGATGATGATGGTGATGGTGATGATGATGATGATGCAGATGCAGATGCAGATGCAGATGCAGATGCAGATTCAGATGCAGATGCACATGCAGATGCAGATGCAGATGCTGGATGATAATGATGATGATGATGATGATGATGATGATGATGATGATGATGATGATGTTGATGATGATGATGATGGTGGTGGTGGTGATGATAGTGATGATGCTGATGACGATGATGACGATGATGATGATGGTGATAATGATGATGATGATGATGATCAGGATGCTGATGATGATGACGAGGAGGAGGATGAGGAGGATTATGATGATGACGAAGATGATGATGATGATGATGATGATGATGATGATGATGATGATGATGATGATGATGATGATGATGGTGATGATGTTGATGATGGTGGTGATGATGGTGATCACGATGATCATGATGATGGTGAGGAGGAAGACGAAGCTGGAGCAGGAGCAGGAGGAGTATACCCAAGAGTCATCAACGATGTTGGCATAAACCCTCCCTCAAAGCTCCCTTTCCATTGGCGTCTACAAGGGTTCATTTCGACTGAGGGAACTGCTTCGTTGGAAGACAACCATTTGAAGACCCTGAAGCATGCCAAAACATTATTCTCGGGACTCCAACGCCACCGATCAACCTGACTGTTGCGTTTTGACGATCCTGAATCGTGCCAGAAAGTCATCCCTGGGACTTCAACACCGCGAACCAACCTAACTGTTGCACCCTCATAATCCTCAGTCGTTCCAAAATTTCAAAAGACTATTTCTGGTACGTTGACCGTGGGAATCCGTGAAACTTTTACAGTTTTAATAAAGCAGGAATGTGAGCGGCGCTAAGGCGAGAGCCACATTTTGAGAACGAGCCGCCCTCAATCCGTGAAACTCTTGCAATTTTCAAAACCGATGTGCGCTGCGCTAAAGCGAGAGCCAGGTTTTGAAGACGAGCCGCCCTCAATCCGTGAAACTGTTGCAACTTTTTAAAACGAATTTACGCGGCGCTGAGGCGATAGCCACATTTTGAAAACGACCAGCCCTTCATCTGTGAACTTTTTGCAAACTTGTAAGCTTCAAAGGAGGTCTCAGGCGAAACGCCTGGCCCGCCCATTCGACCGGCCTCGGGATACGACAGGGAGAAGTTATATCTATACGGAAAAGAACGGAGGAGGAGGAGGAGGAGGGGGAGGAGGACAAGCTAGGTGCGCTCGCGTCATATCTGACGTCTTACCCCTCCCTCTCATCCCTGACCATGGCGTAGATTTCTTCTCTTTTCGCACAGTCGGATGTCGCAGCATGTCATAGCACTACATGGCATAACATGGTGTTCAATATCGACGCGTAGCATTACATGGCATGGCGTGGCGACGCCCCAAAGTGGAGGGGGGACGAATCGACACCGACTGTGTAATCACTTTCGATGTTTTTTTCTGGGAGGCCATGTTTTAGATTTTGGGGCCTCGTTGGATGGACCGAAAACCATACCGTGGCATGGTACTGTGCATCATGACGCCAGGGCTGCAGCGGGAGCACGATTCGGGACAAGCGGAAGCGTGGAAATGAGGCTAACGTTGCAGCGGGAGCACGGTTCGGAACGAGCGGAAGCCAGGAAATGAGGCCAGCGCTTCAGCGGGAGCAACATCTTGAAAAGAAAAACCAAGCGAAAACCCAACTCCCGGGAATCTTGCGGGTAAAAAATCATATAAAATCACTACGCGGATGGGGGCCGGATATCTTCTGGACGTCACCAGGGGAGAGAGAGGAGAGCAGTGTTCAGATAGTGCACCTGTGGATAGAGCGGCGGCGACGGCGGCTTCGAAACGGACCCTCGCTACCGCCACCGCCACCACCACCACGATGCCTGCGGCCACGACGGCCACGAGCACGACGACCACCCCAGACCTCCGACGTCATGATTTTTTCATGACGTCGACCCCCCGAGGTCTCGACCCATTCCCCGGGACCGGTTTTTCGTCCTGAGTCGTTTTTTGACGGTCCCGAGGGCCGGTATAAAGAAAAACCTCCCGTCGTGATTTTTTCATAACTCGAGGGGGTCTGGGACGACGACGACCACCGCCGCCGCCGCGGCCACGACGACCGCGACGCCGACGAGGTGCGCCCCTGGCAGGCCACCTGCTGGGAGCGCGGGGCGGCCCCGGACGGCTTCGAGGCGGAGGTGCGCCGGGCTCTGGCCGAGACCGCGCGGCCCCCCCCCTCCTCCTCCTCCTCCTCCTCCCCTCTCTCTCCTCCTCCTCCTCCTCCTCCTCCTCCTCCTCCTCCTCCTCCTCCTCCTCCTCCTCCTCCTCCTCCTCCTCCTCCTCCTCCTCCTCCTCCTCCCCTTAAGCGGCGCGGCCGCCGTCGATCCTGGACAACGCTCTCGATGTCTGCTCATGGGAGCCTTGGGCGGCGACGCTGCAATCAGCTTCTCCTGCATGTGGACCGCGTGGGGACCACATTGGGCCCATCCTCCCGCTCCTCCTCTCCCCTCCTCTTCCTCCACCCCTCCTCGTTCTCCTAGTTCTAAACCTGGTCCAAATCTGGTCCAATTTTTGTTCCAAATCTGGTCCGAATCAGGCCCGAACTGGACAGCGCCGGGGGCCACGCAGGCTCCCATGGAACGCACACCAAAAGCACTCCTCCTTGTGCGTGGTGCAGCACCGTGCCCAGCTTTTTCCCTACCCGTGGCGGGCGCCCCCTGAGATCCGAGGTCACGGAAAAGTGCGGCACCGAACTTCCCAGACCCCCGACGTCATGATTTTTTCATGACGTCGACCCCCCGAGGTCTCGACCCATTCCCCGGGACCGGTTTTTCGTCCTGAGTCGTTTTTTGACGGTCCCGAGGGCCGGTAGGGGCCCCCAGAGGCCGAAAATAATGAAAAACCTCCCGTCGTGATTTTTTCACGACGCGAGGGGGTCTGGGTTGGCCGGAGCCCTGGACTCCCCACCTTCCTGCGGCAGCCTTCGAGCCGGGCCGATTTTTTTGTTCTTGTCCCGCGGGCGCCGACCGCGCGAGCGGGCGCCGGCGCGCCGTGCCCAGGACGGGCCACCTGCACCGAATTAGGGGGGGGGAGGGGAGGGCCCCCACCCCAGACCCCCTCGCGTCGTGAAAAAATCACGACGGGAGGTTTTTCACCATTTTTGGCTTCTGGGGGCCCTTACCGGCCCTCGGGATCGTCAAAAAACGACTCAGGACGAAAAACCGGTCCCGGGGAATGGGTCGAGACCTCGGGGGGTCGACGTCATGAAAAAATCATGACGTCGGGGGTCTGGGCACCGAATTTGGGCGGGGACTCTTGAAGATGCCCCGGCCTGACGGCCTTCGAGCCGGGTCGAGCCGTTGGGGGCCCCATAGGGCCGCCCGCCATGAGAGAGGGCACCGCCGGGCTCTCCGGGGAGCAGCCCGAATCAGGGGGGGGAGGGGAGGGCCCCCACGACCCCTGCACCGAATTCGGGCGGGTGCTCTTGAAGATGCCCCGGCCTGACGGCCTTCGAGCCGGGTCGAGCCGTGAGGGCCCCATAGGGCCGCCCGCCACGAGAGAGGGCACCGCCGGGAGCTCCGGGGAGCAGCGGCGGGGCGCGGGTCGGCCTCGGAGCCTTGGACGCCCGCCGCGCCCCTCTTCGTAAGTCGGGCCTGTCCCCCTACAAGGGGAGCTTCGACGAAAAATAAAAAGTACCCCAAAATAGTCAAAAAAAACAAAAATAGTCCGGGGACTAATATATATATATATATATATATATATATATGTATATATATATATATATATGTTATACACAGACACACACACACCTTTTTGGAGTATGTTTGGGGGTACGTTTTATTTTTCGTCGAAAATCCCCCTGTAGGGGGACTCGCCCGACGTGACCCTCTTCTGGACCCGCCTTCCTTTCGGCAGGTTCGCAGGTAGGGCGGAGCTGCTCGCCCTGCTTGTCGAGCTCCTCGGGCGCCGACTTCCGGCGCCCGAGACCTGGCGAGGCCGCCCGTGGTGAAGCAAAATTGCATCGCCCCGGTCTGAGGGGACCAGGAGCCAGGGGCCGCGACGAAGGGGGGGGGTCAAGCAGTGACGAAGCGTCCTGGCTCGCCTATAGCCCTACCAAACAATGTTCTGAGAGCCTTTCGTGGTTCCCACGAAGTGTTCCTGGAGCGTTTCTGGCGGAGCCTGTCTTGTTTTAACGCATCGGGTTCATGTTCTAAGAACATTGTTTTTGTTCTTAGAAAATTTGTTCCGGTTGTAAGAACATTCTGTGGTATGACTATAGGAATGTCGGGACGGTCGGTCCCTGCTCAAGGGGGGTGCGGGGGGGGGGGGGGGGGGGGGGGGGGGGCGATTTACGGGAGGGCCGCGAGGGCCGCAGGCAAGGGGCCCCCCGAAGGCCCCTCATGGGGGCCCTTGCTAGGGCCCAGAAGGGGCCCTGTCGAGCCCGAGAAGCGCCCCCTTCCTTCCCGCCCCCCCCCCCCTTGATCGCCCCCACCCCAAGGAGGCTTCGCCCAGGGCCAGGGCAGCGTGGGGGGTCGCGGGCCAGGCAGGGGCAGCTCGGCCGCCCGCCGCGGAGCCTCCGCGCAGCGGGGGCCGGCGGCTCATCGAGCTGCCCGCCGTCCTGGTCGACGGGCGCGCCGGGCGCGCCGTCGCGGAGTTCCGCACCTTTGCCCGCGCCCAAGCCGTCCCCCATCTCGGGGGCTGGGACGGCGACGACGACGACGACGACGACGACGACGACGACGACGACGACGTCTTCGCTTTGGAAGTTCTGGGGCGCCTCTGGGGCGCCTCGTCGCCACGGCAGGACGCGGCGGCTCGAGCGGCCAGCGAGCCAGGGCGGCCCCCCCTGACTCCGGGTCCGCCCTACTTTGGCTTTTCTTCCAACTTAAAATTGCGTCGGAAATCCACCTAGAAGAGGCCGAACAAGTAGGGCGGAAATTGCTGCACCCAGCATAAGATGGGGCGGAAACCCACAGAAACAGCAACAGAAAAGTAGGGCGGAAATTGGCATCAGCGGGGCTTGAAAAGTAAGGCGGAAATTCCAAGCCCCACTTACGAATTTCCCCAAAGTAGGGCGGATCCGGAGTCGGGGCCCCCCCTGGAGGAGTGTCCAGGGGCCGACTGCCGCGCAGCTCTGCGAGGTGCGGGCGAGCATGCCGACATTCAGAGGAGGGAGAGGTACCCATACCTCTACCCTTCCCTCGTTTTCCCCTGTTTGGGCCTCCTGGGAGGACCTCGTCGCCACCGCTGGATTCGCCTCGAAATTCTGGTCAGAACGCACCCGCGGAGAGGTCCGGGGAGTAGCGGTATCGGTATCGGTACTTTTTGGTGTCCCCAGATATGGAAGGGTACCTTGGACGGGGCTAGGACGAGGATAAGTCCTTTTCAGAGCGTTCCAGAATGCTCTCAGAGCGTTCCGCGACGCTCTGAGAAGGCCGCGGCGTTCGAGACATCCTCCAGAGCGGCCAGATCTCACAGATTCTCGACTTATCCTCACCCGAATTTATCCGCGTCTTGGCTTCGTCTTACCCCAGGCGCTCGGATCAGAGACAGCAGCCTCTTGGATCTCAGCGCAGCCATCGACTATCAGGTCTTGCGTGCCCCGCGTGCCCTAGACAGCCATCTTGCGACGCCCGCCGTGGACTTCCAGGTCCTCTCTAGGGGAACAAAAAGTGACATAAACATAAAAACTCGGAGGTCCGCGCGGATTTCTCGGATCGGCGCTGGGGCCCCCCGGCGGCCCCTCCGGCGCCGCCCCTGGCGCGCTCCGCGCGCCAGGGAGGGGGGTCCAGCGCCGATCCGAGAAATCCGCGCGGACCTCCGAGTTTTTATGTTTATGTCACTTTTTGTTCCTCTGCTCTCAGGAGGGAAAGAAACACACAGACACAATTAATTTTCGATTCCCCAGAAAATATGGGAAAATATGGGAAGTGGGGGGGGAAGACAAAGACCGAGAAACTATGGGAAAATATGGGGCATATTTTTATTTATGTGTATTTATTTGTGTGTCCTGGGGCCCCTCGACGTCTGCTACAACCGGGAACACTTGAAGGACTTGAGCTCGGAGCCCGCGGCGCCTGCGGCACCCTCGGAGGCCCGCGCGAGGCGGCGCGTCCATCTCCTCCAGCATTGCTGTAAGTCGGGCCTGTCCCCCTACAGGGCGATTTTCGACGAAAACTAAGACATACCCCAAACATAATCCCAAAATGGTATGGGGACTACTTTTCTAGTAAGTATTTGTTTCCCTTTTTCGGGTGTGTTTGCTTTTTTGGTAGAGCGACCGCGCAGCAGGACGCTCCGCCCCAGCCTGCGCCTCCGAAGCACGCGCCCCGCCGCGGCCCTTTCAGCCACCTGCCTTATTGTGAAGGCCTTACGGCCGGTGCCGCCGACCCTGAAGGTTTTGGCCGTCGATGTCGACGGGATGTGTGACCACAGGAAGGAGCTAAAGGACAACGTGACAGGGTAGGCGGAGCAAGTGTGTGAGCAGGAGGAGGAGGAGGAGGAGGAGGAGGAGGAGGAGGAGGAGGAGGAGGAGAGGAGGAGGAGGAGGAGGAGGAGGAGGAGGAGGAGGCACCTGCCTTGTTATATCTTCCTTCGTCGAGCTCCGCCCTATGTTTGGGTCGGTATCCGAGCTGTCCGTCTCGGGTCCTGCTCGAAGCCCATGCCCATGTCACAGTGTTTTTCCCGAGGAGGAGGAGGAGGAGGAGGAGGAGGAGGAGGAGGAGCAGGAGCAGGAGGAGGGGGAGGAGAAGGAAGAGGGGGAGGAGAAGGAGGAGGGGGAGTCGTGGGAGATGCCCGAGGAGATGCGATTCCGCCGCCGCGGCGCTCGGAACACTCCAGGACCAGAGCGCCGAGGCTGCACCTCGCATGCAGCCCTGCCGCCCCAGCCTACCCGACGTCTTCCGCCGATCCCTTGCCCCCCCCTCTCCAAGGACTGCACTGCACTGTTTTTCTCTTGCTCTGGCCACGGGGCGGTCGCCCGTCGTGTGGCCAGTGCCTCCTAGCCCATGGGGCTGCTGGAAGTACCCCTTCGGTCAGTGAGGTCTCCTTCACTGCCAGCAGTGGTTTCCCAGCCGCCGCTGCTGTGTCTTTTTTCACCAAGGTTGTGCAGGCGTTGAGCTCAAAAAAACTCCAAGGACTGCACCACCTTCAAGCTGGAGGCCGAGTTCCGACCGCAGCCGGTCTGTCATCCACTGCGCCTGTCAGCCCGCACCCTGCACCACACGCTGCAGGGCAGCGCGCGCCACGTGGCCCGGACCGCCGAGCGCGGCGCCCATGGAGCTCTGTCCGCCTGCACCCTGTCTTCTACGCAGCAGGTGCGGCGTGCCGCGTGGCCCCGACCAGCGAGCGCGCCGCTCCGCGGTGCAGCTTGCTGCGGGGGAGCTGGGGTAGGCAGGGCTCGCTTCGATTCCTCCGATTCGATTCGATCCGATTTCGATGGATTCCTATTCCGAATCGATTCGACTTGGGATTCCGATTTGGGTTTCGATTTCTCATTGGAGGGGGCGGGAGACTACCTGGCTGGGACAACCGAGGTCACGTAGGCTGGTGCCCGTATTCGTCCTTGCTCTCTTCTTTGCGGCGCCCCGTGTGATGGTCCTGTGGCCCCGACCGGCGAGCGCGCCATCCACCGAGATGTGTCAACCCTCGCGCCGCGCGGGAATGGCCGGCGAGCGCGCCTCGCCGCGTGCATCTGCTTGCTGCCCCCCTGTTGTGCGGGGCGGGGGGGGGGGGGGGGCGAGGGGAGCCATGGGGTACGGAGGAGGCTCAGGACGGAGACTGCGGGCGAGGCGGCACGAACGACAGTAACCGCAGGGCCGCCGATCCAGCCGAAACTCCCCTATAGAGAAGACGCCTCTTCGAGGGGTTCCCTAGGGCGGTGCCGGCTGTGTTGGCGACCCTCTCCCTCCCCTCTCCCGCCCTCCTCCGTCATGCCTGCTGCTCCCCCTGGCTCCTCTCCCCCTCTTTCGCTCCTCCTCCTCCCCTCTCGCCCTGTTCTCTCTTGTCTTCCTGCTGCTCCTCAACGTGTCGCCCCTCCGTCGGTCTCCCTCTCCCCGGGGGACGCCCCCCCTGCCGGCAGATGCGATGCCCAGGCCGATACGCGCGCCCCGCCCCCGCCCCCCGTTCAAGCCGAGTGCGGATTGGGAGAGGACGAGGAGGTGGGGCGCGTCGAAGGCGTTGCTTTTCGGAGGAGACAGCCCGCAATCACGAGTCACGAAGAAGCGGAGAACGATTGATGAGGAGGAGGAGGCAGCAGGCGGTGGAGAGGAGGAGGAGGAGGAGGAGGAGGAGGAGGAGGAGGAGGAGGACCAGTGCAAACCCAAGACTCATCAACGATATTGCAATCAACCCTCCCTCGAACCTCCCTTGTTATAGGCCCATACAAAGGTTCATGCTGACTGAGGGAAGTATCTCGTTGGTAGACAACCATTTACAAACCTGGAACTACACAAGAGCACCATTCCTGGGACTTCAACGCTGCGAATCGTCGTTACTGTTGTGTCTTGACGATGTTGGATCATGCCAGAACGCCGTTCCTGGGATTTCAACGCAGCGAATCAACGTGACTGCTGCGTCCTGACATTCCCATATCGTGCCAACACACACCATTCCTGGGACGCTAGCCATGAGAATCCTTGAAGCTGCTGTGAGATCTGAAGGTAAATGTGCGCGGCGCTACAGCATGCTACAGCGAGAGCTACATGTTGAAAAGACCCGCCCTCCATCCGTGAAGCTCTCGCAAACGTTTAAGACGAATGTGCGCGGCGCTACGGCAAGAGCCACATGTTGAAAACGGCCCGCCCTCCATCCGTGAAGCTCTTACAAACTTTTAGACGAGTGCGCGCTGCGCTAAGGCGAGAGCCGCAGGTTGAAAACGGGCCGCCCTCTATCCGCGAAGCTCTTGCCAACTTGAATGCGAACGCGCGCGGCGCTAAGGCGAGAACCACATTTCGAAAACGACCAGCCCTCAACCCGTGAAGCTTTTGCAATCTTTTAAAACGAATGTGCGGGGCGTCAAGGTCAGATCCATATTTTGAAAACCACCCGTCCTCCATCCTTGAAGCTGTTGTTTAAGGATCCTAGCTGATGGAAAAGTCTAGGGCGAACGCCCGGCCCGCCCTTTCGACCGGCCTCGGGGTGCGACAGGGATGAGTTAGTTATGTTTAAGGAATGGGGAATGGAAAGGAAGGGGGAATGGAGGAGTGGGAGGAGGAGGAGGAGGAGGAGGAGGAGGAGGAGGAGAAGGAGGAGGAGGAGGAGGAGGAGGCTGAGGAGGAGGAGGAGGAGGCTGGAGGAGGAGGAGGAGGAGGAGGAGGAGGAGGAGGAGGAGGCGGAGGAGGAGGAGGCGGAGGAGGAGGAGGAGGAGGCCTGCCCCTGCCCAGCCGAGGTCAAACCCGAGCTGTGGCCGCAGCTGTCCAGCTACTGCACGCGGCTCACTGGCATCTCCCAGGCGCTCGGCCGTCGTGTCCGCTGACGCCGCTGCGCCGTCGCCGCGTGCAGCTACAGCGTGGCTCGCTTCGGATTGTGCGGCCCAAACTCGACAGCCTCCAAGGACCTCTGGGGGAGGAGGTGGTTCAGGATTCAGCGGCTCCCGCAACGCCAGGTGCCATGGCACATGTCGCCAGGGCGGGAACCGACCGAACCTTGCCTCCCTGACCTTCCAAGAGGAACATCGCCCCTTAGAAACTGAGGCACACCAGCATTCGAACACGAACGTGACGGCCAGGGCGATTTGAACCCAACCGAGCTGAACTCACTGACGCACAGCAAGGCCAAGGGAAGCTTCTGTGAAAGAAGCTGAGCGAGGCTATCCAAACATATACGGTCAGGAACGTTGGCACCGCCTGGGGCCCCTTCTTGGAGCCACCTTGGGCGCCCTAACGCCTGGCGAAACTCTTTGTCCAGACCTCCTCCTCCTCCTCCTCCTCCTCCTCCTCCTCCTCCTCCTCCTCCTCCTCCTCCTCCTCCTCCTCCTCCCCCCCCAAGAGGCTTCAAAGAGGCTCCCTCCAGTTCTGGCCACCGCGCTGCGGCGCGACACGCTGTCCGCGTCCCAGTCCCCGACCGCCAGCGGTCCGAGCTTTTCCGAGCCCCTTCGCCCCGCCGCGCGGAGCGGCACGCTGTCCGCTTGCAGGGCATGCAGCGTGTCGCCGGGGCCGCCGCCGCGACGCGCTAAGCAAAAGCCCCCGACCGTAAGAGGAGGAGGAAGAGGAGGAGGAGGAGGCGGAGGAGGAGGAGGAGGAGGCGGAGGAGGAGGAGGAGGAGGAGGCGGAGGAGGAGGACCCAGCTGGGGAGTCAGCGCACCAGCGGCCCGCCACCCACGCGTCCCTCTTGTCATTCCTCGCTCGCTCGGTCCCTCGGTTCGCCCTCTCGGCGGTTCCCCTTCGCCTTCCCCGTGCCATCCCGCTCGCCCTCGCCCACCTAGACGGTTGGGCGGGGGGGGGGGCAGACGACGGCTGCACCTCGCGGAGGACGAATGTCGCCAGCTCGAGCTCGAGGAGGACCCAGACCCCCGACGCTTTGATTTCTTCGGCGCGGCGGCCCCCGAGCTCTGGGGCGCCCCCTGGGGGTCGCTTTCTCGTCTTTTGACAGCCCCGGGGGCCCCCGGGGCCCGGCGAGGGCCCCCAGGCGCCGAAAACAACAGAGACTTCCGTCAGGAGTTTTGTCAGCATGCTGGAGGTTTGGGGGAGGGGGACCCCGACCCTGGACCCCATCTTCATGATGCACTTTTCGAGCCAGATCGATCTGTGATGCTCCTGGAGCCCCAAAGCCGGGCGAAGACGCCCTGAATCTGGATCCGCCGTACATTGGCCGATTTCGCAAGCAGGGCGGAAATTGGCGCCCTGCTTTGTGAGCTCCGTCGATGCTGATTCCTGCGCTACCTTGCCGTCGCTGTCTCCGCCACACCTTTTCGGAAATAGCAGCCCGACCTTTCTGAGGCTGAAGCTGCCGCCCCGCTTTTTCGCATCGTTAGGGGTGCATTTTCGATACATGTGTAAGCAGGACGATCCACCAAAGCACGGCGGCGGACCTGGGGTCGGAGTCGGGGCGGTCCAGGCACCACGCGCAGCTGCTGGAAGGCATCCCGAGGCGAGGCAACGTCACACGAACCAGCGCAAGCCCCCGAAGACCTCGAGCCTCGAACCCCTCGCCCCAGCGATGGCCCCCCCAATCGAGCAACGCCCAGATCTCAGGGGAGGGGACGTCAGGGGGGCAGCGGTAGGGGAGGCGAGACAACGTCAAACGAACCAGCGCAACCCCCCGAAGACCTCGAGCCTCGAACCTCTCGCCCCAGCGAGTGCCCCCCCCCCAGTCGAGCCACGCCCAGATCTCAGGGGAGGGGACGTCAGGGGGCAGCGGTAGGCGCGTGGGTCACTTTACAACCAGAAGCGCACTTTACAACCATATGGGTCACTTTACAACCAGCTTACAAAGTCCGAGAAAGGGCACTTTACAACCAGGAAGGGCACTTTACAACCAGGCAAGTGGAAACACATATTGAATGCACGCGGGCCTTTCCTTGAACATTCCGTGGGCAAGCGCAAGGGTGGCTGTGGGCTCTTTGAGGCATATTGGTTGTGAAGTTGCCCATCGCGCACGAAGAAGCACTGCGCGCGCGTTGGTGATGCGACGACCTGGTGCGCTATGGTATGTTGCGTGCTGGTGGGCGGATTATGGTGTTGACCTGCTCTCTAAGCTCTGTCGGTCAGTTCTGCCATTGCTTGCTCTGCCTTTTTCTGACGGGCGAAGGCTACTCGCGCAGGACATACGAATAAACCATGATCCTGTCCAAGACTGGAGCTGCATGGCAGTGGGGAGCTGTAGTGGGAGATGTGGCGGTAGCGGGGGCTACAGTGGGAACTGCATGGTATTGGGAAGCTGCGGTGGCAACTGTGGTGGTCGCCAGGCAGCGGTGGGAACTGTGGTGGTAGCTGGGCTGCAATGGGATATGGTGTGGTAGCGGGGGGCCAGTCAGAATTGTGGAGGTAGCGGGGCTGCAGCGGTAAGTGTGGTGGTAGCAGGGTTGCAATGGAAACTGCAGTCGAAGGGGTTCAATACGAGGCCGCTGGTGAAGACCCCGACCACTGTCTTGAACATGGGGCCACGAGCGTCCAGGCGCTCGGGCTCAGGGGCATCGCTGGGGCCTGCGCAGAGCGTCCAGGTCCTCGGGCTCAGAGGCATCGCTGGGGCCTGCTCAGAGCGTCCAGGCGCTCGGGCTCAGAGGCGTCGCTGGGGCCTGCGCAGAGCGTCCAGGTCCTCGGGCTCAGAGGCATCGCTGGGGCCTGCGCAGGGCGTCCAGGTCCTCGGGCTCAGAGGCATCGCTGGGGCCTGCGCAGAGCGTTCAGGCGCTCGGGCTCAGAGGCATCGCTGGGGCCTGCGCAGGGCGTTCAGGCGCTCGGGCTCAGAGGCATCGCTGGGGCCTGCGCAGAGCGTTCAGGCGCTCGGGCTCCAGAGCGCCCACTTGCTCTGGAGCACTTTGCAGAGCGCCCGCGCGCCCTGGAGCACCTTTGAGAGCGCCCACTTGCTCTGGAGCATTCTTCAGAGCGCCCACTTGCTCTGGAGCATTTTCAGAGCGCCCACTTGCTCTGGAGCGCTTTGCGGAACGCCCAAACACGCACGGCCACTCTGAGCTGGTTGTAAAGTGGTCCGTTCTGGTTGTAAAGTGGCCCGTTCTGGTTGTAAAGTGGTCCGTTCTGGTTGTAAAGTGGGCCGTTCTGGTTGCAAAGTGGACGTTCTCGATGAAAAACCATAGTTTCCAATCCTATGTTGGTTGTAAAGTAACCCATACGGTTGTAAAGTGGTTGTTCTGTTTGTAAAGAGACCGAATCTCGGGGGTAGGGGAGGCGAGACAACGTCAAACGAACCAGCGCGACCCCCCGAAAACCTCGAGCCTCGAACCTCTCGCCCCAGCGAGTGGCCCCCCCAGTCGAGCCACGCCCAGACCTCAGGGGGAGGGGAAGTCGGGGGCAGCGGTGTGGGGGGGGGTAATCAGGCACAGAGGGGCGGACGCATCGACCCGCCACCGCCCCCACTGGTCGCCGATGGGGGGGTCCGATACCCACACCCCGCCCGGGAGCGTGCGGACCTCGCCATCGGGGGCCCATCGCCGCTGCATCGGCGGTGCGTCGCCGCTTCCGGGTCGAAGTGGCGCCCCCCCCTGTGCCGTCGCCCCCTTCCTCCTCCTCCTCCTCCTCCTCCTCCTTTTTCTCCTCCTCCTCCTCGTCCTCCTCCTCCTCCTCCTCCTCGTCCTCGTCCTCGTCCTCCTCGTCCTCGTCCTCCTCCTCCTCCTCCTCCTCCTCCTGCTCCTCCTCCTCCTCCTCCTCCTCCTCCTCCTCCTCCTCCTCCTCCTCCTCCTCCAGGTCGAAGTGTCCCCCCCCTGTTAGGGGGCCGCATGCGGACCCTGCCCCTACCCCCCACGATTTCTGAGGGGGAGGGTGGGGTTCGCTTCGCTTGGGAGCTCCCGAACGAAGTGAACCCCACCCTCCCCCTCAGAAATCGTCGGGTGGGTAGGGGTAGGGTTCGCATGTGGCCCCCTACCTGTGCCGTTCCCCCCCCCTGCCGTTGCCCCTGTGCCATCCTCCTCCTCCTCCTCCTCCTCCTCCTCCTCCTCCTCCTCGTCTTCTTCTTCTTCTTTTTCTTCCTCCTCCTCCTCCTCCTCCTCCTCCTCCTCCTCCTCCTCCTCCTCCGCGTTGTCGCCCACGACAGCAGCGGCGGCGGCGGCGGAGGCGGGCGGCAGCCGCCGCCGCCTCGGGCGGAGGGGCCGCCTGCGCCCAGAGGCGGAGGTCGACGGGGCGCCGGCGTTCGCGGAGGCCGCGGCGAGGATGCTGCGATGGCTGGAGGACCCCAGGAGGAGGAGGAGGAGGAGGAGGAGGAGGAGGAGGAGGAGGAGGAGGAGAAGGGGGAGGAGGAGGAGGAGCAGGAGGAGGAGGAGGAGGACATGAGATATGAGATACAAAGGGGACGCAGTGTCCCTCCAACCACCCTACAGGCACTCTAGAGGTCCCACATTGGAGCCCTCGCCCGAGCTCTCTCAGGGGGTCCTTCGCTGGAGCCCTCAGGAGCCGCTCCTACGCCTGACTGGACAATCAGGGAGGTATCCTTGGCCCCCTTTGGAAGACCTGCATAGCTCGGGACCTTACCCTGCTTGATTCTCGTGAGATTCTGCTGTCCCCTCTTGGTGGGACAGCGGCACGGCACGGCCAGCCCAACAAGCTTCAGGGTGGCCGTCGAGCCGCAAACATTGCAAAAGAACAGACTGTGCTCCTGTCAGAGAAACAGCTAATGAGACGGATGGACCACTTGGTTCCCAAGGATTGAATACGACTTGCACTTGACAATGCAGCTCGGGACGCTTACCCCACCGCCCACCCTAGGCGCGGGGAGGGGGTAGCACGAAGACTCGGCCGCTTCCTCGATCCTGGACCCAGGAACCAAAAGGCGGCACGCAGCACACAGCCAGCAGCCACCCTGGACGGA